GTCTCTCTGGAGGCTAACACACTTTGCTACCTCCCCGAAGACAGCACAAGGGCCAGCTGATGGACATTAGACACAGGACAGGAGAGGGAGGCCCCACAGACAAGGTGCTCCTGCCAATCTTCAGAGCCAGAAATCAAACAGTGTTCAGGACAAAGAGATTCAGATACCCAAGGTCAAGCTGTCAAACACAGACAGGACAGTGGTGTGTGTTACCACCGGCATACATACTTGTTTGACTCTCCTTCGATGCTGGAAAACACAGACAACCCTAGAACAACAGAAGTCATGAGTACCGAAGCAGAGTCACCTGACGGCAACCAAAGACCAAACGTTCCCGCCCATGCTTTGCCCCCACAGACGTGGAGGGGGCGGCAGAATGGGGGTACATCCTCACTGAAAAACAGACTTGCAACACGAGATCTGCCACACCACAGCTTGTGTTGAAATCACCATATTATGGCGATGGCCAGTTTTCCACACACAGACGTATTAGATCAGCATGTTCACAGTTTTAAATGAGCCGAGTCAGGCCTCATGGCACACACCTGTAACCCCAGTACTAGGGAAGGGGAGGAGGATGATCACAAATTGAAGAGTCTGGCTACATTCCTTGTCCAGAGGCTAGGGCAGGAAGATTTTTGTTAAGTTTGAGGCGATCTGGGGTTTCAGTGTGAGATTCTGTCTCAGAGGAGATGGCTCGGCGGGCAAAGGCTCTTACACATAAGCCTGAAGACCCAAGGTTAATCCTTGGAACTGAGGTAAAGGTGGGAGGACAGACAACCTCCACCAAATTGTCTTCTCATCTCCACACGTGTCCCACACTCAAAAATAAAAACCTAAAAAATTAAAAACTCCAAACCAACAACAAAAAAGACAGATTTGACTACTTTGAAAATCCCTGTATTACTAATAAGCCACTCAAAGTGGGAAATCTCCAGAATGATGGAGAACAAAAAAAAAAAACTTAAGAGCAATTTCTTGTTCTTTTCAAATATGTAAGAAATTTTTAAAAAAGCAGCAAAGCCCAAGAATAGAGTGGAAAGCAGGCATGCACACACAGAAATGTTATCTCCAGAAAAAGCAGGGGGTCCGTAAAACCCTCTTTTTTATAATGTTTTTGTATTTGTATAAAATGTTTTTATACTTAATTTTACTGAGAGTCAGGACCGCTATTACAAAGGCAGGCCTTGTAAAAGAAATCACATGACCTGCAAAACCTTAGGTACGATCTAGTCCTTCACATAAAGCTTGTGACCCCAGTATTAGAAAATGTAAATCAGAATAAAATTAAGAGTATTTTTTAGACTATCAGGTTGGGTTAAATTTCAGACCCATACTCCCCAGGGTTTTTGTATGGGAATGTACACTTGCTGTTGCTGGGATCGGTCCCTGGAAACGCTGTGGTTGATTGACAGTATTTATCAACACTTTTAAACGCACACACTCTGATTCTGCAGTCTCACTGACAGAGCTATCCCAGATGTACAAAAGTGTAACAATGTGTAAATATGAAGACCACCAATAATAAAAATCCATTTAATTGTACACAAATGGTTACTAAAGGGCTGGAGAGATGGCTCAGAGGTTAAGAGCACTGCCTGCTCTTCCAAAGGTCCTGAATTCAATTCCCAGTAACCACATGGTGGTTCACAACCATCTGTAATGGGGTCTGGTGCCCTCTTCTGGCCTGCAGACATACACACAGACTGAATATTGTATACATAATAAATAAATAAATAGATAAATAAAAAACAAATGGTTACTAAATATACCTTATTTAGGACACTAAGTCCTAACTTGTAGTTTGTAATACTACAAAACTGTGAAAATGACCAGGTCCGTATGGTAACACAGACTTCCAAACTCCAGTAAATAGAAAAATAAAACAAAAATCCCAAATGTAAATATGTGTACAATCCCATTCCTGTAGGTTTTCTTTTTAAAATCTCACACACTGGGGCTAGGGAGACATCTCAGTGGTGATAGGGGATCCGTTCCCAGCACCCACACGGTGACTCACAGCCATCAGTAACTCCAGTTATAGGGACCTGACATCCTCCTCTGACCTGTGTGGGCACTGCATGCAAGCGGTGCATCTGTACATGCAGGCAAAACATTAAAGACATAAAAAAACCTAAAAAAATTTAAATCGCATATACTCTGACATATACTTTTGCTCAAATGATGGAACAGGTTTAACAGTGATTGTCCCTGACTCTGGTCTGTTTAGGACCACGAAATAATGCTGGTAAATTCCTGCTTGTACAAAACCCACCACCTTTCACACTGTAGGTGCTCCAAGTGGTATACACACACATCAAAACAAACAACAAAAACAAACCTGAAAACAGAACAAGCAACAAAATGATACGTAATGCCTTTGAAAATGGTCAAAGAGCAACGAGAAAGCCAGACAGAACAAAACAACAACAACAACAACAACAAAAAAAAAAAAAAAACCTTCTCGAACGATCCATAACAAAGAGCTGAACATCAGACTCACCAATCTGGCAGATTGTAAATTGTTGAACGCTCTGCCGGGTCTTCACATACCACTCAGATGGCAAATCAAAAAGACTGTGAAGAAAGAGGCATCTCATTGCACAGGCAAGGGCATCAGAGGCAGGCTCAGCTACCCTCAATCAGGGACCGATTGTCCTTGGTACAATTAGAGAGCATCTGCCGGCATTTGGCCAGCAAATGCCGCACCTCTCAACAGGTGGAAGCAACCCATCACACCAAAATACCCAACACACACCAAAAAAAAAAAAAAAAAAAAAAAGAAAGAAAAGAAAAAAAAGGCAACAGGAACCTGCTGGGAAACAGTGCTGGTCTGGAGGGTCTAATTAAGGAGGCACAGGTGAGGCTCACTCTGTGGGCTGTTAGACAGCCGTACCTGATCTGCTGGGGCCGGGACAAGTTTGAACGCAGACCTGTGAACTCTATGTCGAGACCTAGGGTAGAGCAAAACAAACGGGTCCTCAGGCCCAGAGCAAGCCACCAGCTTTCACATCTGTAAATGCTCCACGCGGTACGAGTGTGTGTGTGAGCGTGCGTGCGTGTGCGTGTGTGCACACGCACACACACAGCAAGCATCACCTTTCACACTGGAGCCTAGGGTATGGTTCCAAACAGGGCTGACTGGACAACAGTCACAGGAGCCGCGGGTTTGACTGCTTCAGGCCCCCTATCGGAGTGGGAAAGCCTTCTCTCCTTCCTTCCTAGGGATGCTCTCTGAGCTCCTCTGGCCTGGAGACCCATCCAGTACTGAACCACACCCACCAGTCCCCAGGCTCTCCGTGGCAGGCGACTCTGATGACAGGGCCAGCCAGCCCAGGTACCTTACCCACGAAGTCCGCACCCGCGACAAGCTCCTGCAGGAGTGGGAGGCTCTGTTCAAACTCATCAGCACCCACGTCCATAGCCGCTAGTTCCAGGGCGCGCCGGATGCGGCCACGTGCTGCCCACGCGTTTCCGCTGCGCAGGGCCTTAAAGCTCGTGCACGTGGCCCGCTTCGGTCAGAACCTGGTTGGTGCGAATTTGCATGGGATACCCACCGCCTTGGTTTTAACGTGCTGGGAAAGTGGAAGCTGTTGCAATCAAGAACTGCCAGCTGTACTGAAGGCATCCTTGGTATCGGCGATCAGCTAGTGTGGCCTTCATCCTGTAGAAATGCCCGCTTATGGTACCCCAGTGACCAGTCTCCACGCTCAATAGTCAATGGTCTGGTATGCCTCTCAGTTCTAGACTTACAGTCTCCTACAGACCTGAGCTTCCAAGTGAGGTGCTTCAATCCATATTTAACCAGAGGAAAGAAAAAATATATATATTCGTGCTGGCATTATCATTACTTTGCCTCCACTTGGGTATTTATTGAGCAAAGAGGATTCCTATGCCATTAGATGCTGAATGTCTCAGAATCAAGACTTTTTAAAAAAAAGGGGGGGTACGCCTTTAATCCCAGCACTCGGGAGGCAGAGGCAGGCAGATCTCTGTTAGTTCAAGGCCAGCCTGGTCTACAAGAGCTAGTTCCAGGACAGGCTTCAAAGCTACAGAGAAACCCTGTCTGGAAAAACCAAGCAAACAAAAAAGGTACAGTAGCTTGCCATTTTCCTAAAATAATGAATTCTCAAAAGTAATATATTTATTTCAGTCCCAAGTAAAGTTATTGAGGTACCAATATTTGGAAACTGCACTAAAATCCACATGTTTACAAGTGTTTTTCACATTGTATCAACTTTCTGAGAGCTGCCATGATCTCCCCAAGCTCCAACCTAACTTGCATGACCTTCTTAATAACTTTCTGTGTATGTTTCTCAGGCAGGCATGTGCACGTGTGCAGTACCTGTAGAGGCCAGAAGTGGGCGCTGGATTTCCAAGAACTGTAGTACTAGCTGTGAGTTACTATTCTGGTCTTGGAAGTCTGTTCCTAGAGAACCTAGTTCCTCTCTAAGAGCAACTGCTTCCACCATACTGAGCCATCTCTCCAGTCCCTTGTATGGCTATTTATAAAGCCTTTTCTAGCGGGGCAGTGGTGGTGCACACCTTTAATCTCTGTGAGTTCGAAGCCAGCCTGGTCTACAGAGCGAGTTCCAGGACAGGCTCCAAAGCTACAAAGAAACCCTATCTCAAAAAACTAAAAATAAATAAATAAAATAAAGCCTTTTCTACAGCCAGATTTGAATTCTCAATGAAGTCATCATCATTTCCACCTCCCATTGTCTGCTCCTCACACTCACTTCTAAGATTTTCCTGAAATCACTAGGGAGCGAGTCCAGGGAAGTCTAGAAGACATTTGCAGAATATCACCATAGCATTTCTGAGTTTACAATTACACTGACATTCAAAACAAAACAAAACACCAGCCACCATCCTGGGCAGCAAGCAATCCTCTCCCTGATGACTGGCCAGGAGCCATCCATGCCAGTCAGTGCCTTACAGAAACTTCACATTTCCTCCGTAACCACAAGACACTAAGAGAGTAAGACAGCAAGGGTTGGTAGTTTGTTATAAACATTTTAATTTGTTCTGCAGATGGTTATAACTGGTGATTGCTTTTCTTAAGTATATCTCTCATGTCCACAAAAAGGGACAAGCTTGCCCTTCATTGAAACAACAAAACCACACAAGCACACAAAGAAGTGGGAAGAGATTCACTTTAAATAATTCTCAACTGCTACATTATCACTATGAAGCTTTCAGTCTGGTTCTCCTTCCAAAAGCCTGCCTTTATTTCTTCGTTTAGGAGCAGATTCTTCCTTCTGGTGGCCGGAGGAGCTGATGGTTTTGTGTTTACACTTTAAAGCAGTTGATGTTTCTGTTTCATTCATAGATCCTCCGAGGCTCCCGAAGCACCACACCACCCTCTGTCATGGCGTTCTGTAGACGTTTTATCTGGTTTGAAGAGCAAAGGAAAACAGTTACCCTTCAGAAAACCTAAAAAATGTTTGCTTTCCAACAGACAAACAATTTCATCTTGTTGACCGCCCAGCCTGCATTGGTTTTTCTGAGTGATCTTAAGAACATAAGAAAAAGGAAATGGAGAGATATCAATGATCAGCATCTTCAATTCAACTATATGGACAAGTGGTCAGTCTGACAACAGGAAGTGCTAATATCCTAGACTTCAGGGGCTCTGGCATCCTGCACCTGAAACTTGCAATACTGACTGACCTCAGTTTGTGCAGAGAATGGGAGCACTAGCTCCTGTGGATTTACAAAAATCAAGTCACAGGATGTGCTGTCTGTCACAGTACCCAGCCACAGGCCTAACACATGATATACCCTCAGAAAATAATGTAAGCATATCTGATACCAAGAACTAATAAAATGCCCTCTATCGATTCTGTATGCTGCTAGAGGCTGCACATGCTAGGCAGTACTCGCAGAGCTGCATGCCCAGTTCTGTATCATGTGTGTGTGGGTGTGTGTTCACGCACACATGCGTGCACACACTATGGATTAAAGACAAGGTGTCCAGCATGGTAGGCAAGAGCAACCACTGACTTAAAGCCCGAGTCCCCACTTTTCCTTTTAAAATTTTGAGACAGGGTCTTAGTAAGTTATTCAAGCCTTGAACTTGAGAATCTTCTGCCTCAACCCCTCAACAGCTGGAATTATTGACCTGTGTCACCAATAACCAACTTACCACCTTTTTTTGAGACAGGGTCTCATTATATCCCTGACTAGATAGGATTTGCTTTGTAGACCTGCCCTGAACTCAAGAGCTCCATCTGCCTTTGCTTCTACCACACCAGAACAAAATTTTATTTTATTTTAGTATTATTTTTGGTTTTTCTAGACAGGTTTCTCTGTGTAGTTGTGGCTATGCTGGAATTTACTCTGTAGACCAGGTTGGCCTCAAACTCAGAGATCCACCTGCCTTTGCTGGGATTAAAGGTGAGCACCACCACCAACCCCCCCCCCCAAATTTTTATCTTTATGTAAATATACAGAAATGAGAATACCGAGTCTGAGGATGCCTCCCAAGGAGTTGGCTGGTAGACCATGAAGTTGATTCCAGCTTCTAAGCATCGCTGTGCCAACACTCGTCCTATACTCTCACAAGCCACCACATTTCTGGTACTATACAGGTGTTTTTTAATAGCCCATTCCCGAGTGGATGCCGAAACCACCACCTGGCCGTTCTGATGCTCAACCACTGCCTCTATGTGATGCTGAGTCCTTATAACTCGCAACCTAAGAGGGATAAGAAGAGAATAAACCATAAAACGATCTATTTAACAAAAAGTTAAATTATTTCAGGGGAATAAATGCCTAGTTTCTCAAGAAATTGGTGACTAGGCTATTAAAACAGCTCCGTGGCTAAAGGCACTTCCTGCCAAGGCTCACCACCCAAATTCAGTCCCCAGGTCTTACAAGCTGCAATGTGATGTAGGTGTCTATGGCACAGGCGAAGACCTGTGCGCATGCACACACCAACAGCAAGCTGAAAAGAGAAAAACCCCATGCTGACAAGTACCGAGGAAGCGAGCACATGCCACTTACACCCTGCCACATGGCGGTAATCATCTAACGCTGTGGCTCGACAGCCACACACAAATATGTCTGAATCTTAGCTCCTCCTGTCTACCTCCCTTTCAACTCCTCGGTCCCTGTCAGTGGAGAAAAGTACTACACCTGCTTCACAATGGAGTGTACATAATTAAATGAAGAAAAATCACAAATTCAAAGCAACTAGCATAGTTCCTAGAAAATACAACATTTTCAATACACAGCCATTTGGGGGCTGGGGAGTACAGTCCAGAGGCAGAGCATACACTTTGTGTGCTGAGGGTCTGGTCTAACCCTCACAGTTGTCCCAAAATAAAATTTAACATTTACTTTTTTGTGCATGAGTGTTTTGCCTACCTGTGTGTCTGTTGTTACAGCCAGTTGTGGGTGCTGGGAACTGAACCAGGGTCCTCTGCAAGCTCAGTAAGTGCTTTTAACCAATGAGCTTTTGCTCCAACCTCCACAAACAAAATTTTAAGAAAAAAATCTGTTTAAAGCAAGTATCTCATTTCTATTAAGTCTTACAGCGGGCCTTCCTTTTATTCCGGCCCAAACTTTATTCTATATTATTTATATAGAACTATTTTATAGTTCCAGCTGACCTAGAACTCAGAGATCTGCCTGCATCTGCTTCCCAAGCGCTGGGATTAAAGGTGTGCACCACCACTGCCCAGCTCACACTGACTACTCTATTGCCATCACACTTCACACTTTACTGAACTCCGGGTACACAGACCTGAGGGTCCCTCAGAGACACTAACCAATCCCAGCCCAGTAGCCTCCTCTACTAGACTGTCCTTTGTGGCAGATGATTATCGTCCTATTCTTTAGAGCTCGGCTTTTTTGTTGTTTCAAGACAGGGTTTCTCTGTAGCTTTGGAGCCTGTCCTAGAACTAGCTCTTGTAAACCAGGCTGCCTCAAACTCAGAGATCTGCCTGCCTGTGCTCCGGAGAGCTAGGACTAAAGGCGTGCGCCACCACTGCCCACTACTCAAGATTTGACATGTCACATCTTCAGAGTCGTCAGTACATAATCTCTTATTCTCGAATTATCATTAAGTTTTCTTCATGACAACTATTAGTTGTTTGCTCCATGGTCACTCTCTACTCTCACGTCATCCTCCTGACTCAGTCAACCTCGGGCAGGGTCGGTCAAGGCATTGATGAAAAAGACGTGTAAGGTGCTATACACAGCCGACTTAAATTACCTGTGCCAGAATTCACGGCTGGGCCACACTGTAGCCCAGCCCCGCTCTTTCCTGGCTACCCCTAAGAGCTCCAGATTCCGAGGGTTCCGGTTGGTGAACTCTGGGGCCACAGCTTCGTTTTCCTTAGTCGCCAAATCGTGCTGAATCGCTGGTGTGGAACTGGTCGCGAGGGCTGCCAGCCCACACTCTAGGAAATGAAAACGACCACATGGATCTTTAAAATGACGAACACAGGCACCAGAGGGACATGCTCTAACCATTCCCATCACGAGACCCAGAAGCGGGGAGAAATGGCCGTCTGACCACAAACCCAGAACGTTCTAACGCCACCCCGGTGTGGTTGTGCATTCACTTTCCCACGCGGAACCGCGGGTGCCAAATCGGATTTGCAAATTCCCGTGTCCTGTGCACCAGGGCATAGCCAATGCAGCGGGGCGAGATTAGTTACCCAGGTTCCTGCAAACAGACAGGCATTTCCAGAACCGCGGCTGAAGCGCCATCGCTGACGGGTCGGAGGCAAAGCCTCCCGGTACCCTGCCTCCCTTCGCTCACGGTCGTCCGAGAGGAGGACTAGCCGCAGCCATTTTAACTGAGGGAAAAGCTACAGATGCCAGCAGGCCCTAGGGGCCTCCAGGACCCGGAACTAACAAGCCCCTTCGTGCTGAGTGGTCGGGAGAGCGATCGGTCTCTCCAGTCCGCCAATCGCCGCTGACGTTGGAGCGGAGGGCGGGGCACGCTCCCGGAGCCATTCCTGAGTCACGCGTGGGCCCAGGCTGTATTTTGGGGGTCTGGTCCGCAGAGCTGCACACCACTGGAGCGCATACGCTTCGGGGCTCTGGGAGAGCAGGGTGCACGGTTTCCTCAAAGAGCGGAAGCGCCTTGTCCGCCCCAGCCAGAGCGGATCGAGTCTCAGCCGACTGGCCGAATGATCCCAGACATCTAAACATGGGGGGAGCTTAGACGAGAGCGCTCGGCCGCCCATCCCACCACACCCCAACTCAGCCCTACCAACTTTTGTAGAAAGTACTAGGATGTACAAACGCGCAAGCGCAACCCGAACAAGCGCGCCACAGCCCTCCTTCGGTCCCTGAGTTCAGTCCCCCACTTTCGCGCCTTTCTTTTCCAGCCTCTAATTGGACGAAAATTGTAGGTGCCCCGCCCTCCACTTCCGGCGTTTTCCGTTTTGCCATCTCTTTTTTCCCCAGCGTGCCTCGCGGTTAGCGGAGAGTGCGCAGCGGGTGGGGTGTGTTACCCAGCAGCACGCGCGCGCGCCGCTCGGGCCTCTCCACGCTGTGTGGTGGCCGCCGTCCGGCCTCGGAGCGGAGATCCCGGCTGTGTGCGGTGTTAGTGAGGTCGGCCAGGCTCCCTGAAGATGGAGGGCCCTCTGTCCGTGTTCGGGGACCGCAGCACTGGGGAAGCGATCCGCTCCCAGAACGGTAAGGGCGAGGGAATCCGGGGCCCGGCCCGCGGCGGCGCAGGCCGGGGCCCGATCGCGGTGGGTAGGCCGGGGCCACCCCCTGGGCACCGTGAAGTCCCCCGAGGACACCGGGCCCAACGCAGCCCTCAACCGCGGGCCGCTTCTGCGCCCCGGCGCCCATCCGTATAAGGGAAGAACGTTCGAGCACAGCACGCTTGGGAGGGAGCGCCCGGGATGGGTGTGGGCGTCCACGCCCGGAGGGAAAGCAGCCTTGCACGGAAGGCGAGCTCAGACCTCCGCGCCTGCCACGCCCCACGCACGGCCCCTTTGTTCTGGTTTTTCCGGGTGGGAGCATCCCTGACACGACCCGTTTGGCCCACGAGGAAATATGCCTGCAGAATTTAGGTGGGCTTTGCGGGGCTACCTCTGTCCGGGCGGGTGCTTGCATGTCCAGATCTCGCAGTTGACAGGTGCACCCAGGAAAACCTAACGGAACGTAAAGCGAGTGTTAGGAAGCGGCACTGAGCTACCCGTGCCGCTGTTAGCGATAGTACGAATTAACACGTGCTTTGCTGTAGCTGAACCTGTTTTCGAAAGCATTTAGCGGCTTGGAGTCGTGGTTGTCTATAAATTTTGTAATCCCCCCCCCCCGGAAACAGGCTCACTACCCAGGCGAACTATCTACTATTCTTATTAAAACTTGCTTGAGTGAAGCAGGCCGAAGTGTCCCTTAGAATTTTTCTTGCAGGGATGGAGAGATGGTTCAGCAGTTAAGAACACTAGCTGTTCTTCCAGAAGACTCGGGTTCAGTTCCCAGCGTAGGAGCTCACAAGTGTTGGTAACTCTAGTTCCAGGAGATATGACACCTTCACACGAATGCACATAAACTAAATTCAAATCAATTATTTTTTAAAAAAAAATTGCAATGAATAGTGGCAGGATTTTTTTGTGCTTATTTTTTGAGGCATTGAACTTTTTGGAACTTTTGACATCAGTACTCAAAATAAAAATATTTAACCTTCACTAGTTCTTAAATAGGTAATTTTGTCTTTCAAAAAGAGTTAAGTACAGATTTGTAGATTTGAGAAAACCATATGTGGTTGAGTGTCTTTTAGTTTGTGAGTTGATCTAATTTTTTTTATTTCACTGTTCCTTTACAGTTATGGCTGCAGCTTCTATTGCCAACATTGTTAAAAGTTCTCTTGGGCCAGTTGGTTTGGATAAAATGTTGGTGGATGATATTGGTGTAAGTATATCTTAACTGGTTTTGGTTACCTTGATAAAAATAGCTTCAATAAAACCTGGAAATTATTTTCTCTGTAAAGTCTTTGTTTCTACCTAAATACATTAAAGCTGAGTGTATGGTGTCGTGGAGCTTGGCTTCTGTGCTGACCCGCTTCTCTCATATTTCTCAGGATGTGACCATTACTAATGATGGGGCCACCATCCTGAAGTTACTGGAGGTAGAGCATCCTGCGGCTAAAGTTCTTTGTGAGCTGGCTGACCTGCAGGACAAAGAAGTTGGAGATGGAACTACCTCAGTGGTGAGAGGCTCCCTGGGACTGCCTAGAGAACAGTCAGGAGAGTTGAACCCATGGCAGAATCGTTTGCTCTAGGTCAGAAATGAGTCAGGTGTTTACGGTCTCACAGACATCCGAAAACGAATCATTGTGACAGTTTGTACAGTCACAAAGTGTGTACAGTTTAAGTAGGAAGAGAACTTAGGTAGTTGAATATAAGTTTGTTTTAAGTACTGGGGTCTCATGAATTTGGGTCTTATATTTAATCCCCTTGCAGTGATAATGTTTACATGTAAAAAAGAGTTGTTGTTGTTGTTTATGTTTTTCAAGACCAGGTTTCTCTATAGCTTTGGAGACTGTCCTAGAACTCTTTTTGTAGATTGGCCACCCAAGTGCTGTTATTAAAGTGTGCGCCACCACCACCCAGTTTAGAAAAGAGTTCATTAAAGCAGAGAATGTTTGGGCTCGTTGGTTTGTTGTTTAATGGATACTTTTGAATTTTAAATGTAGGCAGGAAATCTTGGGAATTCAGAGTAGAAATTTGAGGGAGTCAATTTGCTACCTTACGGGACCAATGGCTAGTTAGCGAGCGTGGTTAGTGACATACACCTGATTAATTATGCAGTGCAGAGATTTCACTTTGCCTTGAAAGAATGGGATCTGTTCCTAAACGATGAAAATGACCTTTGTCTGACTTGTTTATAGATCATGTGACTTAGCAAATACCTTAACTCCTTTCAAAAAGAAGCGGACAGATTCAGAAAAATGGTTCTTAGTGTTTCATATTTTAAATGATTTTAAGATTTAGTTAAAAATACTAGACTAGGGGACTGGAGAGATGTTAACACGATGTCTCATGTTAACATTAGCACTGGCTGCTCTTCCAGAGGTCCTGAGTTCAACTCCCAGCAACCATATGGTGGCTCACAAACCATCTGTAGTAAGGCCCTCTTCTTCTGGCATGGCAGTGTCCATGCAGGAGGAACATTGTATACATAATAAGTCTTTTTTTAATACCTTTATTCTTTTTTTTAGATTTATTTATTAAGTATACAGTGGTCTGCCTGCATGTATGCCTGCAGGCCGTAAGAGGGCACCAGATCTCATTTCAGGTGGTTATGAGCCACCATGTGGTTGCTGGGAATTGAACTCAGGACCTCTGGAAGAGCAGGCAGTGTTCTTAACCACTGAGCCATCTCTCCAGTCCCATAATAAATCTTTTTTAAAAGCTAAAGTTTAAAAAAATACTAGACTAGCACAAATGATTTCAAATGTTAGCTATTTAGCTCTTGTTGCGCTCAGTCTCTAAATGTAATGGGTATAAATTCTGTTGCACTGGGATTTTAGCGTTTTTTGATGTTTGTAGCTTGGTCCGTTTACACAGACTACTTTGTAGTGGTCTACATGTTTTCAGCAAGCTGCTACTCACTTGTCTGCTGTGGCTGCTTAGTAATGCTAAGTCATACCTGGGCATAGTGCCGCATGCCTTTAATCCCGGCAGTTGGGAGACATTGGTAGGTGGGTCTTTTGAGTTCAAGACCAGCCTGTCTACAAAGTGAGTTCTAGGACAGCCCCGGCTACACAGAGAAACCCTGTTTTGAAAAAACAAATAGAGGATGTTAGGTCATTTTAAAGCTTTTCTGTATGCACCGTGCATATTGACTACCATAAATACTTAATGTAGTGTTTACTCAACAGGTAATTATTGCAGCAGAACTTCTGAAAAATGCAGATGAACTAGTCAAGCAGAAAATCCACCCAACATCAGTTATTAGTGGCTATCGGCTTGCCTGCAAGTAAGATTACATTCAAAGAAAATGTTACTGTGTAGTGGTTGTAGTTGTCTTACATTGTGACTGATGTAAATGTTGGAGCTGTTGTACCTTAGCGTTCAGGTGGTCCTATTTGAAGTATCCGACCCAGGTACTTTCTTCCCATTTGACTACCACGTTTTCTCGTAATAGATTTTAGTGGCTATGCTTATGGGATAGATGAAAAGTGCCATGATCTGAAGGGGGAGGACTTTTCGGTGTCTTCCTTCTATATGAAATGGCTCAACAGAAGACCATTGCCTGTGACATTTAACAGTGTGTTAAATGTGGTGAAACGCAAAATTTTTGAGTAGTATGCTTACATTTTCTTTCCCATGCCTGTAACAGGGAAGCAGTGCGCTATATCAGTGAGAACCTAATTATTAACACAGATGAACTTGGAAGAGACTGCCTGATCAATGCTGCTAAGACATCCATGTCTTCCAAAATTATTGGAATGTATCCTTAAATGGTCTAGTGAAATTTGTCCCTATCACCTTTTCACTCTTAAAAATAAGACTGGGTTTTATAGAATGTTGATTTTATGCGGTAAAACTTAAAATGCTTGTCTAATGCAAATTGATCCAGTTAGAGGAAAAACAATTGAAACTGACTGATGCTGCCTGCTGCTGCCTCTCTAGCCTTTCCACGGTGGAAGGGTGCTTGAAATGATAGTACTTTCTTCATGCTGAATTATTTTTAAAAAGAAAGTCTAGTTGAATTGCTTTTTGTGTCCTTGGGTCTTTTATTCCAAGTCTGTTGTCCTTAACTGTTGTCTCAGAAATGGTGATTTCTTCGCCAATATGGTGGTGGATGCTGTACTTGCTGTCAAATACACAGATACGAGAGGCCAGCCTCGCTATCCAGTCAATTCTGTTAACATTCTGAAAGCCCATGGGAGAAGTCAGGTAGAGAGCATGCTGATCAACGGCTATGCACTCAACTGTGTGGTGGGATCGCAGGGTATGTAAGATTCAGTGTTACATGGGAATTGAGAATGCTACTGTTCCCAGTCACTTTGTTTGTTTTGGGTTTTGTTTGGGTGGTTTGGTTTGTCTCTGTGTGTTTTTCATAGTATACATCTACATAGGGTTAAATAATTGCCATGGGGGCCAGGCATAGTGGCACTGGCGTTTAATTCCAGCACTGAGGAGTGATCAGTAGACAGGTATCTGTTTAGGGCCTTGTCTACACAGTGAAACTCTGCCAGTTTTTTAAGAATTTACAGTGAGCATAGATTGAAATGAATTGTGTGCACTTGTGACTGTCAGGCTTTCCTGAGGTTTAGTGTAATAAATTGCCATCTAAATTTGGTTTATATGTAACATGAATTTTTTTGTGTGATGTATTTAAGGATAACTGTCTTTTATGAACCCTAGCATTGTTATAGTTGACCTTTTATTCATTTACAGGCATGCCCAAGAGAATAGTTAATGCAAAAATTGCTTGTCTTGACTTCAGCCTGCAGAAAACAAAAATGAAGCTCGGTGTGCAGGTGGTTATTACAGACCCGGAGAAATTGGACCAGATTAGACAGAGGTATATGAGAAGATTTTTGCCTGTGAAAGGATGTTTGTAAATCAACACTTGTGCTGTGTTATAAAGTAATGGTTAGGCAAGCCAGGCATGTCCCAAACAGGTGGATCATTTAAGCCGATGAATTGTAGTCAGCATGGACAACAGCATTGCTTCAAGTGTTGATACTGTGTGCTAAGGTGGTGGGACACAGCTGGCAGTGCTGACTGCAGTTGCTGTGACGTCACTCCGGCACGCATGCTCTGCTCCACTTTACTCTTAGGGGATTGCTGTTGTGTGGCCAGTATGTCCATTGTGTAGATGTGACATGACTACAGTGATTGGCTTTCAATCTCGTGTGTGCTCATGATTCCCATGGCGCATGTGAGGCCTCCTGGTAGGTTCATCTTGTTAGAAGTGTCCACAAATGAACCAGGCTGTGCTGACACATCTAGGAGACAGAGACAAGAAGATCTCTGCATTTGGGGGCCAGCCTGAGCTACAGAGCAAGTTCCAGGACAACACAGGCAGGGTAACACAGTGAAACCCTGTCTTCAAAAACCAAAAGGGCCACAAAAAAAAAAAAAAAAAAGGAAAGAAATAACATCCACAAATAAACTCTCATTGCCTAACTTGGCCCAAAACCTATATTTTGCTTCAGGGGTACCTTGGCTGTGCCTTCCGTTACCATGACTTCATAAACTCATACTTTTTTGATCAAACTCTCTGTCTTATAGATTACATACCTCTGGTTTCTGTCTCTGAAGTCTTTTCGTCTTCTCAGGTGTTTTCACATTAACATAGGTTCATTTGAAGAAAGTAAATTTGGACAATCATAGGCTTGCCTCAGACATTAAAGCATCTTCATCTACTCTCTAACATACTCTTAAACCTCTCAGGTTCTTCATTTCCTGGTCTTACATAACTTCTGCTGGTTCAACTCTACACTAAAACTTTTTTTTTCCAAGACAGAATTTCTTTGTGTAACCTTGGCTATGCTAGAACTAGCTCTGTAGACCAAGCTGACCTCGAACTCAGAGAGATCTGCATGCCTCTGACTCCTGAGTGCTGGGATTAAAGGCATGCGCCACCACCGCCCAGCATGAATCATTTTCTTATTCCACTATGTAGGGCTTGAGTTCTGCCTCTCATACAGCTTCAGTGATATGCTGTTTGGGGATTGCCATTAATTCTCTACTGCATCCTTAACATGGGAGGGGCCTCAAGGAGGTGTGTTTTTCTTTTTGCCACCCTTAATTAGGAATTGATTGTTGGTGAAAGAGCAAATGTTACTTTCAAGTGCTTGAAATTAACATAAATTGGACTGATTTAACTTTTGATTTTAGTGGGAAAGAATGAAAGAATAACAAGTCAGAGTTACAGCAGTATTATCTAAAATTTTAAAGTTGTTAATTTGGGTTTACTGAAATATTTTCTCTGTAGAGAATCAGATATCACCAAGGAGAGAATTCAAAAGATCCTGGCGACTGGGGCCAACGTCATTCTCACCACTGGGGGGATAGATGATATGTGTCTGAAGTATTTTGTGGAGGCTGGTGCCATGGCTGTGAGAAGAGTTTTGAAAAGGGACCTCAAGCGCATTGCTAAAGCTTCTGGAGGTAGGTCTCTCCCAGCCCAGACACACTACTTAGTAGTATGTGACTGGGTCACAGGTCTTCCAACTGAAATATTGACACTAAATTTCAAAAACTTTTTGTTTTTCTCTGTTGTACTCTGATAGATTTATAGAGCCATATTTTATTATTTTTAGGTAATTGGAAAATAGTTTGATGCTGAGTTGTTGGAAATGAGTGCACTGATTTGACCTTAAAGTGACAGTTTTGTGTTAAGGGGTAGTGTCTTGTCTGTGACCTTGAAATAATACATTGCTCTTCTCATGAGGAAAATCACTAAACTACAATCATGAAAACAAATGTGTGTCTTATGATTCTCATGTAGCAACTATCCTGTCCACACTGGCCAATCTGGAAGGCGAAGAGACTTTTGAGGCTACGATGTTGGGACAAGCAGAGGAGGTAGTCCAGGAGAGAATCTGTGATGATGAGCTGATCTTAATCAAAAAGTAAGAACTACTGTTATAAGTTACAAAGCAATGTAGATTCCATTGTAAAAAGAATTCTTTTCCATTTACTTGCTGCTCTAGTCTCAGTTACAGAAGCAATTTAGGCGTGGGATAAAATTATATTGGACCATTGTGAATTGAGATAGTATTTTGTCTCTTGTATGTGAACTAAACATTGTTTTTGGTGCCTTATGCTTAAATGTGAGCAGGATTTAACCAAGGGTGTTTGTATTGATGCTGCTTTCATTAATTGAAAAATACTAATGACTTCACTTTTTATTTTTCATAGTACCAAGGCTCGTACATCTGCATCAATTATCTTACGAGGAGCAAATGATTTCATGTGTGATGAAATGGAGCGATCTTTACACGATGCTCTTTGTGTGGTGAAGAGAGTTTTGGAGTCAAAATCTGTGGTCCCAGGTGGAGGTGCTGTAGAAGCTGCCCTGTCCATCTATCTTGAAAACTATGCAACCAGTATGGTAAGGATGGTTTCAGAAAGGTGCAGGAGACAGTGGTGTTGGGTATACCTGTCGGAACCTACTGCTGTATGCTGTGTTTGCTTTCATGACGACACCTCGTGTTTTTCTTTTTAGGGATCTCGGGAACAGCTTGCTATTGCAGAGTTTGCAAGATCACTTCTTGTTATTCCTAATACACTGGCAGTGAATGCTGCCCAAGACTCCACTGACCTGGTTGCCAAGCTAAGAGCTTTTCACAATGAGGCTCAAGTTAACCCAGAACGTAAAAATCTAAAGTGGTGAGTTTACAATTTCCTTGTGTTCTGTTGTCCACTGTCGTGGGTCTGTTTTAAGTTAAGCACTTGAAGGGACTGGTCACATACTGAAACTTTACAGGCATCATTGTTGATTGGTGCCTGTATGTGTAATGGTGGCTGCTGATTTTTAGCACTGTTGCTTTTAGGTGTCATCTCTGGACCCCATTCTGACTCCCTGGGTAGTCTGGAGGAAGTCCAAGAGGGTGACCTTAGGTTATTCTCACCTTTTCAGGCAGCCCCTCAGCTGACAGTGAGTGCAGTCTCAGAAAAGTGTGTCTTTAGATGATTTGGTCCTTCTGAGGACATAAAACATACACAACACCAAGCCAGACAGCTGTGCTGTCACTAGGCAAAAGAATCTTTTGACTACCAAACTGTATGCACTACTTGAACATAATATTATCAGTGTGCAACATGTGACTGTATGCTAAATGTTTGGCAGATGAGGTTTCTCTGCTACACTACCAGCTTTTCTACTCCCAGAGATAAACTTGTTAGAATCCCAGTCTTGTAGACCAGAACAGCTGGAACACACTGCTTCAGCTTGGTCATTGAATCACATTTTCACCATGACAGGATTGGCCTTGATTTAATCAATGGGAAACCACGAGACAACAAGCAAGCGGGGGTTTTTGAACCAACCATAGTTAAAGTGAAGAGCCTGAAGTTTGCAACAGAAGCTGCGATCACCATTCTTCGAATCGATGATCTGATAAAATTGCACCCAGAAAGCAAAGACGATAAACATGGAAGTTATGAAAACGCCGTTCATTCTGGAGCCCTTGATGGCTGATTGATTGGATTTCCCTTTTATTTATAGCAGTGTCAGACGCAATGTCTTAGCCTTGGGTGTCTCATTAAAGTACAGCAAGCTGACCACCTGGCTTCCTGTCCTCACTTTGGTCCTCTGATTTCACATACTATAGTGTTTCACTGATTTAGCAAGAAGTGTTCATGGGTGGTGGCTGTCAAGCAGGTCATCCTCTCTGAACACACATTGCTATCCCCATCCCACCCCCAATGCACAGGGCTGCCACACCACGAGTCCCGCCCATTCTCTCAAGGCTGTGTAACAAGGTCACTAGAATCCTACAGCCAGAGGCTCCCAGAGGATGGCCCAAGGCGATGGCTCCTCCATCGATGTTGACCTACAGGAGGGGAGGAGATCAAGTCAGTCTTCTGTGGACACAAGCTAGCACCCCCAGTTTATCTTTGTCCTCTCAGGGTTATGCTAGCAAACCACCCTTTCAACTCCCACTGTCAAGCTTAGGAGTAAATACTGCTGACGCCCTCACTGTGAAAACAAGTCAACAACACTTGGACTGCAAGTTCATTAGCAAACAGCAAAGCTTGTGTTGGTTACCTTCTCGGGGTTTAGTCCGAGTTCTTTAGCTATTGCAACAGAAAGAGCCGCATAGGCTTCATTGATTTCAAACACATCAACATCTTCCAGGGTCCAGCCTGCTTTTGCAACCTACAGGAAGAAAATGAACTGAAGTTAAATCATTAGTTATTAACAAATTTATGATGCATGAAACTCTGGGAACTATGCAGTTAGGTGTGCCATGGTGACCTCAGACTGTCCTAAGGGTTTAAAAGGTGAACACCAGGCTAAATAATGTTCCCAAAAGAGCACTATGATGAACTTTAATGACAACACCACAGTGTGGAGGTTACTCTAGGTAGAGTAGCGTACTTGTGTAGGCACTTAAGAGGCTGAGACAGAACAATTAAATTTGAGACCAGGTTGGGTTGTATAGATCCACCCTCAAAACCAAAAGTCCAGGCTGGAGAGATGGCTCAGTGGTTAAAGATCCTGAGTTTAGTTCCCAGTAACCACATGGTAGCTTATAACCATCTATAATGAGATCTGATGCATTTGGGCATATGTGCACACAAAACATGTTAAACAGTACATAAATACACAAAACATACATAAATAAAGTTTAGCTGGGTGGTGGTGATGCATGCCTTTAATCCCAGCACTTGGGAGCCAGAGACAGGTAGATCTGTTAGTTTGAGGCTAGCCTCTTCTACAGAGTAAATTCCAGGGGGCTTAAAAAGCTACAGAGAAACAGCCTTAAAAAACTAAAACCTGAGAGCATAATCCAGTACTTGGAGACTAGTGTTTTGTTTTGTTTTTTTTTTAACTAAAGAGTTTGAACTGGCAAAGTGCCTGCAGGTGAAGTTCTTTGAATAGCATCTGAGTTTTAAGTTTTAACCTCCAGAACCCACGTTTTTTTTTTTTTAAGATTTATTTATTTATTATGTATACAACATTTTGCTTCCATGTATACCCACACACCAGAAAAGGGCACCAGATCTCATTACAGATGGTTGTGAGCCATCATATGGTTGCTGGGAATTGAACTCACGACCTCTGGAAGAGCAGTCAGTGCTCTTAACCACTGAGCCATCTCTCCAGCCCCCAGAACCCACGTTTTAATAAAGGCTGCCAGGCGGTGGTGGTGCACGCCTTTAATCCAGCACTTGGGAGGCAGATCTCTGAATTCGAAGCCAGCGTGGTCTACAGAGCTAGTGGAGACATGCACTTGTATTCCCATTGCTGAAGAGGCTAGGGTGGGCAGGTTTTAGGATTAACATGCTGCAAATGAAACCTGGTAGCATAAACCAAGTGAAAGCCCCGCCTAACATTCCAGAGTGGAAAAGGGAGCTGACAACAGAGCGGCACACTTGGCACCAGGTACATTGGTACACAGAAAAGTTAGATTTTAGTTAAGGTCACACTACTGATGCATACCTGTAACCCTAGCATTTGGAAAGGTACTAGCTGGAGGAGCAGATGTTCAAGACCAACCTCTTCCTACGCAGTCTAAAAGCAGGTTTCTTCAAACCCTGTCATACATGTGCCAAGTACATTACCAAAGAGACTCACAGCTTGCTTTATGGCTGGAATTGGTCCTACTCCCATAATGCAAGGCTCCACGCCAGCTTGTGACCAGGAAACTATTCTTGCTAAAGGTCTCAGCCTTCGACTCTCAGCTTCTGTCTTCTTCATAAGAACCACAGCCGCGGCACCGTCATTCATCCCTGTGAACAAGTGACTTGGTTTCTACAGTGCTCTTCATCAGGTATGTACCCAGGCCACCACCTTTTCCACCTGAAAGCATCAAGTTACTGACAGGTTGGCAAAGCCCTTGCCTGTGATTCATCAGAGCGCACAGTGTACTTAGAAATGGTCAGGTTTGGATGATGTTGACCATACATGATTAGATGCCGCAATAGCTATAAAGAAGAGGGGGTCAAAGATGAAACAAAACCAAAGAGACACCCAAAGACTTCCAGGTGCTGGGGCTTCCTGAAACTGGAAAGGTATGTAGTGGATGAACATAGGAGGGTTTTGTTTTCAGATGGGGTCTCACCACGTAACCCAAGCTATTCTAGAATGTATGTAGACCAGTGTGACCTTGAAACCACAGAGCTCTGCCTGCCTTTGCCACCTAAGAGCTAGAAGTGAAAGCCTGAGAAACTGGAGTTCTTTCTTTTCTTTGGGTGTGGGGGGGGGAGGGGGGGAGTAGTCAGGGGAGATGGTGTCCAGACAGGGTTTCTCTGTGTTAACAGTCCTGGCTGTCCTGGAACTTGCTTTGTAGACTAGGCTGGCCTCGAACTCGCAAAGATCTGCCTGCCTCTGCTTTCCGGGAACTGGGATTAAAGGTGTGCGCCACCATGCCCAACTACTCTGGAGCTCTGAATTTTACTCTTTTCACTTGTATGTCTAGACTAGATGTCATAAAAGCAAGTCACTGCAGAATAGATTAATAACCAACAATATAGAAGGGATAAACTTTCCCTAAACTCAGCTTCAGGTATTTTGTATAGAAAGATTTACTTGGTAGACCTGCCAAAGTTGGTTCTTCCCACAATGCCCTTCAGAAATCGAACCTGTTGCATTGGCAGATGTGACTGTTCCCGTCCCATCAGAAAGGAAGTAAGGTTTCAGCTTGCCCATGGCTTCCATGTTACTCCCATGGCGAGGAAACTCATCAATTTTTACTTCGGTAGAACCTGCAAAAAGTAAAACCAGTTATCCCCCTGGGATGAGTACAGAGAAGGCAGAGTGCTGGGAATTGCTAGAATTACTGCATGCTACCCCCCCCATGAGAACTCTTCATGGGACAGTCTTGCTGTGTTCCAAATCCACAGCCCTTCCTAAGGACAGAGGTTATTAGTATTGTATGCACATGGGTTTGTGTGGGACAATGGTCTGTATTCTGTCCGTTATATTTTAAATAAGTGCTCATTGGCCAGTAACAAGGCAGGACGTATAGATGGAACAACCAGACAGGAAGTAGAGGTGGGTCAATGAGAACAGAATTCTGGGAAGAGGAAAGCCAATTCCTCTGCAGTCCTGACCAGGCACAAAGCAAGCAAACTGCCTCTCCAAAAAAGGTAACAAGCCATGTGGCTAACATAGACAAGAATAATGGGCTAATATAAATTATAAGAGTTAATAAGAAGCCTGAGCTAATGGGCAATCAGTTTATAGTTAATGTAGGCCTCTGTGTGATTTCTTTGGGACTTAACAACTGCGGAAACCGGGCAGGACAGAAAACTCAGACAACAGGTTTGAATCACGGCATTCAGCTGGCTACAGCTGAGTGGCTCAGGACTGGGACAATCCACCTTCCATGAGCCGAGCATGAATGTCAGTTATGGATAGGGGAACTGTCCTGACTTGATATATGGGGATGTGAGAAGCACATGGGAACAACTGGAAAGGCTTTACTTAGACTGTGTAGAAGAGTTGTGTCCCCTAACAACCACAGACCGATGCTCCACTTCTCATGGAGCCCACTGCATACACACTGCAGCTGTGAACAGTTTGAAGATGACAGTTTCCCGTGTGACCATATCCCGTGTAGACAGCACTTTCCAGCCAGGTGTGGTGGTGCACCTGTTATCCCAGCACTCAGCAGGCAGAAGCGGGGGAGGCCAGTCTGGTCCACAGAGTGAGCTCTAGACCACCCAGGGCTACACAGCTGCACCATGTCTCAAAACAACACATCACCATCAACTCTCTCACATGCCAATGTATGAAGCCTATACCTCTACAACTTGTAAAACCCAAAGTTCACATACAGCCCTCCATACCACCCTTAGGTGTCAGTCACGCCTACAAACAGGCTCATGTGTACTGTGGTCTCCATACTCACCTTTCCTGGAAGACACCAGCACTGGCACGATCTCCTTGTCAAAGTGGCCAGCTTTCTGTGCATGCTCCGCCCTGTTCTGGGACAGAACTGCAACCTTGTCCTGGGCTTCTCTGCTCACTTGCCATTTTTTGGCTACATTTTCAGCTAAGGAGAAAAAAGGCAAAACAGGATTTTCAAGGGCTCAAGTTACTCACATTTACACCAGAACACACCAGCAGTGCACACCAGCAGGCCTCCTTATAGGACGAGAGGCAGTGCACGCCCACAGTGTGCAGGCCTCCTGATAGGGTGAGAGGCAGTGCACACCCACAGTGCACACCCGCAGTGCACACCAGCAGTGCACACCAGCAGTGCACACCCGCAGGCCTCCTGATAGGGTGAGAGGCAGTGCACACCCACAGTGCACACCCGCAGTGCACACCCGCAGGCCTCCTGATAGGGTGAGAGGCAGTGCACACCCACAGTGCACACCCGCAGTGCACACCAGCAGTGCACACCCGCAGGCCTCCTGAGAGGGTGAGAGGCAGTGCACACCCACAGTGCACACCCGCAGTGCACACTAGCAGGCCTCCTTATAGGACGAGAGGCAGTGCACACCCGCAGGCCTCCTGATAGGGCAAGAGGCAGTGCTCTGCAGGCTGGGTCCGCTACCCTGATAGTACACCTGAAAGCTGGTGTCTTTTGAGAGGCATTTCTTCTCTCTTTCTATACATGGAAGTGGAAACTTCCAGAAATCAGTATCCAGATTCATCATTGATATTTTTGTCCCATTTACCTGAACATTCTCTTCCCTAATATTCTGAGGGAAAGATGAACATACAAATTCCCTTTTACCTCTGAATTATAATTTCAGTATATACTTTCTGCAAACAAATTATTTACCTACATAATGGGTTGTTTAAAAGTAGAGTCAGTTCAGCTTCAAAATACTGAAGAAAAAAAAAAAAGTCAGGCGGTGATGGTGCAAGCCTTTAATCCCAGCTCTAGGGAGGCAGAGGCAGGTGGACATCTGTGAGTTCAAGGCCAGCCTGGTCTACTGGACAGGCTCCAAAGCTACAGAGAAATCCTGTCTTGAAACAAAGAAAGAAAGCAGAATCAGAACTGGTGATATGTCTCTACAGATAAAGATGCTTGTTGCCAAAGCTGAAACCTGGATTCCACAGAGTGGGGGAGTACCTGACTACGACAGGCTGACCTGTGCCCTCCAAACATGCACTTTGGTACTTGCATACCTGTGTGCCCAAGTACACACAAGAATAGATTTTAAAACCTTTTTTAAACAATCAGGAAATTTAACATCAATACTATTTCTTTCTTTTTTTTTTTTTTTTGGTTATTTTTCGAGACAGGGTTTCTCTGTGGCTTTGGAGCCTGTCCTGGAACTTGCTCTGTAGACCAGGCTGGTCTCGAACTCACAGAGATCCGCCTGCCTCTGCCTCCCGAGTGCTGGGATTAAAGGCGTGCGCCACCACCGCCCGGCCATCAATACTATTTCTTAACTCATCTTCAAAGTTTATCTATTGTACTATTAACTCTTAAGAAAAAGCCAGATGCTTTAATTCCATTCTTGGGAGGCAGAGGCAGGTGTGGATCTCTGCATTGGAGGGCAGCCTTGTCTACTGGCATCTCACAACTCCGCCTTCTTTCTCCCAGCGTTCAGTTTAGTTTTCTCACCTAGCTCAATTCTGCCCTATCACAGGCCAGTGCAGATTCTTTATTCATTAGCCAATAAAAGCAACATATATAGAAAGACTTCCCACACCACCTCTAAAGAATTCAAGATTCAAAGGCTGAGGTAGAATCCTGTTCCCCAGAGAGGCTGCATAGCCATCAGCTCACCTAGCTCACCTCACATCCCCCAAGAAGTTCTTGTGCTTCTCACCCCTCCTTAAAAACCCTTTCTATCTGGCTCCTCCCTACAACTTCCTGTCAGCTAGTTGCTGAGGCAGCCTCCTGACCACAGGTGAATTTTATTTAATCAAACACATCTTTGCATCATTAAACAAATGTTCCAAAACATAAAGAAAAGCAATACACCTTAAAATAATATTCTACAACATCTGAGAATTATTACATTATGAACAATGAAAAAATACCTTTTCTTGGCAATACTTGGTGGCATACACTTTTACTGCGAACACTTGTGGGGCAGGGATAGGTGGATCGGTATGAGTTCCGAGCTATCCTGGTTCAAATTCCACTAGGACTACTGTCTAGATAAGACCCTGTCTTAATTAAAAGAAAAGGAAGAGAGGTAAGGAGGGAAAGAAAGAAAGTAAAACCTTTCTTGGACAATTGAAACAGATTAGTGGATCAAGACACTTGTTGCCAAGGTGGATGATCTGAGATCACTTTCCCAGATCCCATGTTGGACACACACAAAAACACACATGAGAGAGAGACAGACAGATCACCAGGTGAACACCTGTTCACTACCACACCATAACAGCTAAGCGGGACAGCCTTCAGACTCACAGCCTACACTACGAACCTCAAGTCCCACGCTCTTGTAAACCTTTTCTAAGCCGGTATTTGCAGCCACATCAGCCTTACCTGTGATGCCCATGTGATAGTTGTGAAACGCATCTGTAAGGCCATCACAGAGGATGCTGTCAGCCAGCGGCATCTCACCCATCTTGACTCCTGCTCTCAGGTGAGCCAAGTGAGGGGCCTGGAAATGGACGTGAAAACAGGTTAGTCTTGGTGGTCATTATCCTCTCCTTATGAATGGTCTGGACCTGACTTCCTCCCTCTTCATTTACCCATCAAGCCCTTCTCCCCACTACCTGCTTCCCCAGGTCAGGGCCTGAAACCTCTTGGCATTAGCAGACCATCTCACCTGCCTCCTCTTAGGAATCTCTTCCTCTATAACTTGCCTATTTCCATTTCTCCCTCAAACCTGTCCATTCTGGGTTTTAAGTCCTAATGATTCCACTTTTTCCTCCTAGATAGACAAGTATTACCTTAGGTGATGGCATAAAAACCCCAATCATGTACCTATTTTAATAAATGTTGTGTTTAAACTGGGTGGTGGTGGCACATGCCTTTAAACCCAGCACTCAGGAGGCAGAGGCAGGCAGATCTCTGTGAGTTCAAGGACAGCCTGGTCTACAGAGTGAGTTCCAGGATAGGCTCCAAAGCTATACAAAGAAACGCTGTCTCAGAAAACCAAAAAAAGAAAGAAAGAAAGAAATGTCATGTGTGCCCGAAGAGACCAGAGGGAACTGGATGCCCTGGAGCTGGATTATAGGCAACTGCGAGGCCCCTGACTATGATGCTAGGAGCTGGGCTGGAGCACGTGTCACAACAGTACCAGCCCTCCACCACTCTCCAATGCTCCAGCACATCTAATGTCCGTTTAGACAGGAGACAGAAGACCCACAGGGAGAACAGTCAGGTTTCCAAATGGACTGAGAGGAGGGTTTCTGAACAGAAGGTTTTTCTAACTTCCAGCATACAAAGGAAAGGGTAATAATGGACCAGGAGTCCACAGAGGTGAGTCAATCATACAATGATATCTAGAAAAGTACAATGATATCTAGGAATGAAAATGACATAATTAAACCCATAATATCATATGCTTATTGTTTTTAAGAAGCAACAAAACAAAAGCCATGCATTTAAGTGGCAGCTCTGGATATCAGTGTTCCCACCTCTAAATTGGGAATAACAACACTAATTGTTGAGAATAACAACACTGGTTTGTTGACCACACACAACAGCCCTAGGTCCAGGTCTGCACTGTAACTATGTCTGACCAGAAAGACTCCATCTATTGTGTGTGACCTTCAGCCTCCTCCTAGTGGCTGAGCTCACTAGGATTCCGACCAGTGGCTTCCAAGGTCAGCCCTGGAGCTGCTTCAACAGGAAGAAGATACTGCTCCATTGCAGTGCCAGCTTCAAGGACAGCACTTGGCAAGATAGAGCAGGATGGCAAACCTCCTGGAGAGGGGCAGCTCTCCATGACCCTTGGCCACGATCTTTCTTTTGATTTTTGAGACAAGGCCTTGCCGTGTGATCTAGGCTGGTCCTGAGCTTCTGGGCTCACGTGCTTCTCAGTCTCATCCTCCTGAACAGCAGGGACTGGGCATGCTTCACCATGGGTGTCTTTTATGTGTTCTACCCTCTAGGAGATCAACAAAGTCTGGTCCCTGGGGTTCCTCCCGACCAAGGGCCATGGCAAGAAGGTTAAGTGGCCACCTGTCACTTCCTCACAATGGGAAAACATAAAGACAAGCTAGCCTGTCTCCTGTTCCCTCTGTCCTGCTCAGGTGCCATGTGCTGTGTGTGTGGATCATGGTCTCGAGTATTTGTGTGGACTGTTCTGAGCTCTGGCTCCCAGTCTAAAGTAGACCAATGTCTGGGGTTGTGCTGTAACCTGGACTGATGATCTGTGTCTAGGAACAGGCTGCTCGAGCTGCACAGAATCCTACCTGACCTGTTTGAGTTCAGTTGCCCTAGGACTTTCAGCTGTGGGGCATTGTCTCTAGAGTTCAATCCAATATGAACTAGGGATTTTAAACAGCAGATTTATGAGCTCTACTGACCACTCTGTTTAAAGAATATTTAGATCCATCTCTCCAAAAAAGGGTAGCGTCAGCCCTCGTGTGGGCAGTGATGGGTAGATTTCTGTGAATTTGAGGCCAACCTGGAATACTTGGGAAGTTCCATGCCAGTCCAAGCTACATAGGACCCTCTGTAAACTCTGGGGGTGGGGAAAATAGCATGGTGGTACACACCTTTGATCCGTGTACTCAGGAAGCAGAGATAGGCAGATCTCTGAGTTTAAGGTCAGCCTGGTCTACAAAACAAGTTCCAGGACAGCCAGGGCTACCCAGAAAAGTTGTTTTTAAAAACCAGTAATAAGTGAATAAAAACAAAAGGGGGAAAAAAGAGCTGGGCGGTGGTGGCGCACGCCTTAATCCCAGCACTCAGGAGGCAGAGGCAGGCAGATCTCTGGGAGCTTGAAGCCAGCCTGGTCTACAAGAGCTAGTTCCGGGACAGGCACCAAAAAGCTACAGAGAAACCCTGTCTCGAAAAACCAAAAAAAAGGGGGGGGGGCGGGGAGAAAGACATTTCAGTGAGATGGCTCAGTGGTACAGGCAGTTGTACCAAGTCTGATGATCTGAGTTCAAGCCCCACAACCCACCCGGTGGAAGAGGAGACTCTGCTCCAGAAGCTGTCCTCTGACCTCCACCTGCCAAGGGGAAGGGGCATGTGCCCACTTTATTTTATTACCATATCTTTTTTTATATTAAAGGTGTGTCCCACCACTTCCAGCCTCTATTATTGTTATTTTTATAGAGAAGAGGAGAATGATAGCAGTGCATGATGGGAAACAACCTACCACAGAAATGAAAAACTTGACAGCATTTCAGGTGGCAATCTGGGGCCTAACCACGATATCAGTCAGGAGCAGTTACTCCTTTGTTGGACTATCTAATATTTATTCTTTGATAATAAGTAGAGGAGTTGAATTATAAATCTGGATGATTCAGGTGGCCTCAATAACCTTGTTGCCAACTTCATAAGTATGAAGATAGTCTTTTATCGTTTTAATGTTCTCAAAACGTTATTTCCTGTAACAGACATGTTTACTACCTTTTTAAGCAGGGTAAAAAGGAGCTTTTAAACCTTTAAAGTTGGGAAGTAGAAAAAGATAAGATATTCTGCGTAAATTGAAAACATTGGGACCGTGGGAGAGGGTTGGAGAGACACGGAGAGGCAGGGAGGGGAGCAGAGAAAAATGTAGATCTCAGTAAAAATCAATAACACCCCCCGCAAATGTTGTAAAGAAGACAACTCTTAAAGAAAAGTTTTGGGGCATGTGGACGTGGTGTACGCCTTTAATCCCAGTACAGAGACAGGCAGATCTCTGTTTCAGGCCAGCCTGGTCTACTGAGTGAGTCTAGGCAAGCCAGGACTGCACAGAGAAACCCTATCTCAAAAAAGCAAAAGAAAGAAAGAAAGAGAGAGAGAAATGATGAGAGAGAAAGGAGGGGGGGGAGAGGGAGAGAGGGAGAGAGGAAGAGAAGGAGAGAGAGAGAGAGAGAGAGAGAGAGAGAGAGAGAGATATTAGCTTTGGATACTTGGATAATATTCAAATATTTAAAAAGGTTTCTGGGCACAGTAGCATATGCCTGTAAACTTAGCACTCAGGAAGCAGAGCTGGAGAGGCAAGCACTTAAGGATAGCCTAGGCTATGTAACAATTCCTGGGCTAGCCTTAGCTACATAAGTAAGCAGGGATGAGACAGCAATGAGCTAATCTTGGGGGTTCATTTCAGAAAACACTGTATGCTTCTGGAAAAACAGCTTAGAAAAATCACACCCTGGCTCCACTGCCTGGCTGATGAGCTGTTTTTCATTTCCCATCCAACCTGGAGAACAATGGAAATTCAGGCAGGGCTCCAGGCTGAGTCGTTTTCCGTGTGTCCATCAGCAGCACACAGGACGGTGAGCCCCTCTGCACTTACCTTGCTCATGTTCTCCATGCCTCCTGCAACCACAATGCTGGAGTCACCTATGGCTATGGACTGGGCTGCAAGGCACACGGCTTTCAGGCCTGAGCCACAGATCATCTGGCAGCTCCATGCTGGAACCGAGTAGGGGATTCCTGCACCCACACTGGCTTGTCGAGTGGGATTCTGCCCACAACCTGGAACAAGGAACACGGAGGCCTCTAAGCCATCAGGAGAAAGTAAAAGATGGGGGGACAAGTCTGGGCTAAATGCCCTCAGGCAGCTAAGTTCTCACAGAGCACAGATGCCTGCTTCCCTCCCTCCCTGCCACTCCCTGGGACAGATAACACCTTGTGCAACTCCTAGGTGTTTCAACGAGACGCTTCCTCCTCCACAAGCAAGTTCCCAAAGCCTTAACACAGAACCTTAAGACCTTTCTCTCTAGAGGCCAGACTTTTCCTCCTACTCGGCAAGAAATGTAACTAAGACCAAGGGTGACAGCCAGCCGGTCACATGGCTGTAAACACAAGGCATAATTCTGACATGGAGAGCACTTGCTCCCAGAAGCCTGCCATATAACAACGACACTTAGGAAGAAAAGAAAATTAAAGAGGAGAACTATGCATAAAAGCAATGTAGAAAATCGTGCTGGTGTTTTGTCGTAGCTCACACCTGCAACTCCAGCATTCTCTTAAGTCGAAGCAGAAGGTTCACAGTAAGTTCGAGGCTAGTCTGGGCTACATATTCAATTGAGACTTGCATGAACCGTGAGCAGTTCAAGTTAGTCTGAACTACATAGTGAATTCCAGGCCAAACTGTACTACATAGTAAGGCCTTTTCTCAAAACATAAAAACTAAAGTTAAATATATATAATAGAATTAGAACCAACAGGACTGGAGAGATGGCTCAGTGGTTAAGAGTATTGCCTGCTCTTCCAAAGGTCCTGAGTTCAATTCCCAGCAACTACATGGTGGCTCACAACCATCTGAAATGAGATCTGATGCCCTCTTCTGGGCTGCAGGCAGACACACAGACAGAATATTGTATACATAATAAATAAATAAATAAATAAATAAATAGGGGGTGAGGAAAGATACTCCTTTAAAAAAATAATTAGAACCAACAAACGCCTTTCTGTTGGCATATCCGTGATATCCTTCAGCTGGCAAAATCAGAATAGTTCCTTAAAAGAAGCAGAGAAGTACACAGTCTACTTCCTGTTGCCTGCAAATCAACATGTTCCTTCTCCAGCACCATGTCTGTCTGTATACCGAGGTCTGCCATTCTGGTAATGGACTAAACCTCTGAAACTATAAGCCACCACCTCAATTAAATGTTTTCCTTTACAAAAAAGGAAAGAAGCAGCAGCAGAGAAGGGATGGAGTCAAACCTTTGAAATGCTATCATATCTGTCATTGTATGACGAATGGCAGAGGGGTCCCGCCTTTGCAAGTTTCACATATACCCACATCTATGACACTTCTTGCTGTAACTACAGTTCAAGGGACTCCAATACCTTTTTCTGGCCTCCCTGGAAACCTGGCATGCATGCAATATACAGACACACATGTAGACAAGACACCCATACACAAATATAACACAAATAAAAAATATATAAAAATAAATAAACATGTATACACACACACACTTTTTTTAAAAAAAAAAGAGCCAGGTGGTAGTGACACAAACCTTAAATCCCAGCACTTGGGAAGCAGAGGCAGGCAGATCTCTTAGTTCGAGGCCAGCCTGGTCTACAGAATGAGTTATAGGACAGCCAAGGCTACACAGAGAAACACTGACTTGAAAAGATAAAGAAATGAGGAGAACTACAAAACGAAACTTAACAAATGCATGTCAAATATCTGTATTTTAAGAATCTCAAAAGCTCCAAAGTACTGAGCCTAGTATAAATTCTTCTTTTTTTCTGTGCAAGGTATTGAACCCAGTGGTGTGTGCATACCAGCCAAGTGGTCTACAACATTTGCAGCCTTTCCTGGCTTTCCTTCTTAGGAGGGATCATCTTGCTAAGGGCTCAGGCTGACTTCAATCCCATGACCCTCAATTCACAGGTCTCAGAGTGCTGAGGTTATACTCATGGATCAGCAAGCCAGGCAATATAAAACTTTTGTAAGCTGAAGGGACACTGTATGATCCCTTATATTCTAGTTAGAGTAAAGATGCAGTTTGACTTGTAGCAGGCTTTCTCACACCTCCAGCTCTCAAGTCATGACTCAGAGGCTTAATATTAGTTATGAATGCTTGGCCTTATGTATGTATGTATGTATGTATGTTGAAGGGTGCCTGGTACTTGTGAAGCCCAGAAGAGGGTGCTCAGTTCCCTGGATCTGGAGTGAGGGAGGCTATAAACCTCCAAGAGAGTGCTAGGAACTGAGCCCAGGTCCTCTAGGAAAGCAGAAGCATTTCTTAACGGCTGAGCCATCTCTTCAGGCTCTAAGAGAGGAAGACATGTTTTAGAGACACTTGTATTCCTCAGTCTTTCAGACTACTGAAACAGTGACCCTCAAACTGGAAGTCCCCACAAATCCTGTGCAGGAGAAGGAAGAAGTTGAGGCCTGATAGCAGGCAGGGGTGGAAGCTACCTCTTAGAAAAAGATCTTGTGGGCTGGAGAGATAGCTCAGAGGTTAAGAGCATTGGCTATTCTTCCAGAGGTTATGAGTTCAATTCCCAGCAACCACATGGTGGCTGACAACCATCTCTGTAATGAGATCTGGTGCCCTCTTCTGGTGTGCAGGCTTACACGCAGACAGAACACTGTATACATAATAAATAAAATAAATCTTTAAAAAAAAAAAAGATGCCGGGCAGTGGTGGCGCACCTCTTTAATCCCCCAGCACTTGGGAGGCAGAGGTGTGCGGATCTCTGTGAGTTCGAGGCCAGCCTGGTTTACAAGAGCTAGTTCCAGGACAGGCTCCAAAGCTACAGAGAAACCCTGTCTTGAAACCTTGAAAAACCAAAAAAAAAAAAAAAAAAAAAAAAAAAGAAAGAAAGAAAGAAAAAGGTTTTGCACCAGGCACAGTGGTGGGATGCACCTTTGATCCCAGAACTTGGGAGGCAGAGGCAGGTGGACCTCTGTGAGTTTGAGGCCAGCCTGGTCTACAGAGAGAATTTCAGGACTGACCCCATAGCTACTGGGAAACAGTAAGTGCTTGACCTGGACTTGGTAGTGCGCTCCTATAATCCCAGCACTCAGGCAGATCTCTGTGGGTTAGATGCCAGTCTGGTCTACGGTGCAAGTTCTAGGACAGCAAGGTCTGCCACTCAGAGAAACCCTGCTTTTAAAAAAGAGATATCACACACTGTGACAACTTGTCAGACCACGTTGCTAACTCTATTTTGACCCAGGTGATGGGTCAATAGTGGGTGTGGCCATAACTTGACTATTTAAAGTTACTCTCACTTCTGGACCATGAAGATGGACGTGAGGGCTCAATGGGTCTCTTTGCCTCTCTTCCCAGTTTAACCAAATTAAATAAATTCCCCGTGACTGCCCATTTTCTATTCATTTTGCTATTCCAGGCTTAATATTTGCTATTATGAAAGACAACTGGGGGCTGGAGAGATGGCTCAGAGGTTAAGAGCATTGCCTGCTCTTCCAAAGGTCCTGAGTTCAATTCCCAGCAACCACATGGTGGCTCACAACCATCTGTAATGGGGTCTGATGCCCTCTTCTGGCCTGCAGGCATACACACAGACAGAATATTGTATACATAATAAATAAATAAATATTTAAAAAAAAAAGAAAGAAAGACAACTGGCTGAACCTGGCTTGAGATAATAATTGTGACATCAAGTTTGGTAACAATGATACTTCATCATATATATATACATACACGTGTGTGTTTATACATGTATATATACATATATGTGTCATGGAATATTATTTTAAGGTGTGCTACTTTAGTTGATACTCTGGAACATTTGTTAAATGATGCAAAGATGTGTTTGATTAAATAAAATTCACCTGCAGTCAGGAGGCCAAGTCAGCAACTAGCTGACAGGAAGTGGTAGGAAAGAGCCAGGTGGAGAAGCTTTTTAAGGAGGGGTGAGGAGAGGCACTTTTGGAGAGACAGGAGAAAGAGGTAAGCTACTTGCTATTCAGCCTCAAACCTTGAATCTTGAGTTAACCTTTAGAGGGACAGAGATTTAGTTAAGTTCCTTTAGTAGCTTTGAAAGAGTGGGTGCCTGAGGGAACAGAATTCCCTCAGGCCCTCGTGGCCTGTTCTCTGCAGATCATGGCAGAGTTGCAATTGCTGATTAGGACAGCTGTGGATTAAGAGGTAGCAATAATTTCGAAAAAGGACAACATTTACAGATGTTGCAAAATCCAGTGAGGGGATCTGAAATGAAAACAATCCCGGCTCCAAGTATTTCAAACATGGAATAGTCAGCCTGCACACCTGCAGATGGGCAAGGTCCCAGGCAGTGTAAGAACAGAAGTCGGTTGTGAATACTAATAATCAAATCTCTACAATCAGTTCAGATGTATGCCGAGGGACATAGGGGATGGCAAGACCGTGAACCCGTGATTTCACGCATGCTAATCACATACATCACCACTGAGCTACACACCCAGACCCCATGTCTATTATCAACACGGAATGGTCGGGGTCACTGGTCCACAACCCAGCAGGAAGCAGAGCTAAAGTGAAGGCGTTCTCAGGCTCTCCTGTCTCCCTCCAGGGAGTGATTAAGCTCCCACGGGTGAGGAACAACCTATCTCGTGACAAGTGGACAGGCACATACCTGTTCTGCTACAGCCATCCTTCCTGCTGCTGGCACAGTGCCAGGCCCACACGCTTTGATCCAATGTGTGGCATTTTAGGGGTGCGGGGGAGGGTCATGCGTACTCTCCTATGCACCAGGCTGGCCTTGCTTCTAACAATGCAAAGGCGGCACAGGTCGGTGGTCTGGGATCACTCAGGGAAGAAGCTTGTAAAGGAGGAGGGACAGAAGGACTCCTGGCACAGGGAACTCTAAGACAAGAACTGTCCGGTGGTGTGTGTGTTCATGTGCAAATAAATGGTGTGTTTCTAATGAGCCCGACCTGTCCTGGAGTTACTGAGGAGTTACCTGCCGCCAAAACGTGCCCAAATATGACCTCGGACACCTCTTCTGGAGCCACCTTGGCCCTCTGCAGAACTTCTTTGATGACAGTTGTCCCCAGGTCGTGGACAGGCACAGTAGACAGGGCACCATTGAAAGAGCCTACGGCGGAACCGGGGAGAGAGAAGGCGTGTGAACCGAGGGAACATTGAGGATGGCAGAGAAGGAGGAAGGGGCCACATGCATTTTAAACTAATGCTTCTCCAAGTCCAGGGCTGCCCAAAGTCTGCTGAGCTCAGATTACCAGTGCCTGGCACTTGATACCACAGAGAGACCGATGGACCACTATTCGGGTACACCCACCTATGGCGGTCCGGGCTGCCGAGACGATGACCACGGCGTCGGAGCCTGTGTTCATCCTGCTGCTCCGCTGGCGTCCGCACAGCTCTGGCTGCAATTGAAGAAAACTTTGCTCAGTCCGGGCAGAGCTGGGGACAAGTATACAGCAGCTAGGCTGGCTCAGCACACCGCTGGCCCGCCTCCACCCCCCAGGCTCAGGGAGGGGCGGGGCATGAGCAGCGTGTAGGGGGGAGGTGTTGGTGTGGTGTAGACAGTGTAGGGTCCCCGGTGGGGTAGAGATCTTTCTGGTGTGTATGTTGGGGTGGGTGTGGTCAGCGTGCAAAAGGCCAAGGAGTTGTTGGGGGGTGGTGAGGGGGGAAGTCTCAGGCTGTGGACTTCAGACACATGTAACAGACCCCTCGAATCTTTCTCTGTATCCGTGTTGATCCCTTTTCACATCATGGTTTCTGTTTTTGTGTATTTTCGAAGCGATGAGGGTGACCAAAAATCTACCTCTGGTTCAGCTGGGAATAGATTCCCCTGGCAGAATTCCCGAACCCTGCCATGAGCCAGAGGGAGCACACTAGCTACTGTGTCAACTCCATAGGACGCCTGGGCCCCGTGAACTGCAGCTCACTTGGATGCGAAGAACTGACCCGGTTCTTGTCAAGGGGAGAACCCCAGGAGCCTAGGACGCAGGCACTTCTGGAAAGTGCTCTGTGGGTCCTCTCCACGGAAGATCTCTTAGGGCCATGGATCTCTGCTGTTTAAAATACCTGTGGTCACAGTCCGAAGTTGCCAGGACTTTCCAAGTACCTCTATGATGTTAGAAATGGACTCTGGTATGTGGGCAAGCAAAGTTTCATTCTGCAGAGATCACACGACTGTGTTAAATCCTGCAGGTTGTGGTTGAGGCTGGGCTTTCATCCCTCCCCTCACTGCAGATTGTTTGGCCTCACAATTTTTTTCTAAAGGGAAAAGAATTAAGATTTATTTCATATATATCAGTGTTTTGTTTGTTTTTGTCTGGCTGCATGCATGTATACCACTTATGTTCCTAGTTCCCCAGGTAAGTCAGGAAAAGGCTTCGATCCCCTGGGATGGAGTTAGGATGGTTTTGAATCACCATGTGGTTGCTAACTCAGGTTCTCTGCAAGAATAAATGCAAGTGCTCTTAACCTGTGAGCCATCTCTCCAGACCCCCCAAATTATTGCTCTCTGTCTAGACATGATTTCATAATGAAGCCATTAGCTGACCTGGAAGTCACTTTGTAGATCAGGTTGGCCAGGAATTCAGACATCAACCTGTTTTCTACCTTGCTACCTCACAAGTGCTGGGGTTAAAGCTGTGTGGGCTAACTCAAGTATAACTTTTAACTTTTTTTTTAAGTTTTTCAAAACAAGATTTCTCTGTAACAGTCCTGGCTGCCCTTGAACTCACAGAGCTCTGCCTGTCTTTGCCTCTCTAAGTGCTGGGATTAAAGGCGTGAACCACCCAAAGTGTAACTTTTGAGATCAGATGGAACCTTGAGTACATATTATTAGCTAGAAAAATGCTGACTGGGGAGGGAGTTTTGTGAGGTGATGTCTTTTCTAATTGAAGATGGACATCCTTGGTCTCATCTAAACTTTTGATAGAAAAGAGAACATTTCACTTACCTTTCCCACAATGCCTTGTGTTATGCCTCTTACAGACTGGCTCTGGCTATCCTCCCCACCCCCATTCCGTCACAGGGCAGCTGCAGGGCCCTCAGCGTTCTGAAAGGACAGTCATTCTGGTTTGCACCTGCAGCTTCGTGTCTTCTCTATCCCATGTCCCCTCACTCTGTGGCCTTTCCTCAGGCCCCTCTGTGGGCTGACTGCTCCTCATCCAACTTCGCAGGTCCCCAGGAAACATCATGTCCACCCCAGATACCCCATTATGTTGGCAGCTCTGAAATCCTTGTTTGCTTATGAGCAGACTGGCCCTCTCTATTTAAATTTCCCAGGACTGGGGCTGGAGAGATGGCTCAGTGGTTAGGAGCCATGGTTGTTCTTCCAGAGGACCTGAGTTCAATTCCCAGTACCCACATGGCAACTCACAACTATCTTTAATTCCAGTTCCTGGGGACCTAACACCCATGGCAAAATACCAATGTGCATAAAATAAAAATAAATAAAATTTAAAAAATTTCCTAGGATTGAATTTTACTGCCAGCACTCACATCTCCTTACAATTACCTCTGGCTCCAGGAATATGCACTGCCCATGGCTTTCTCAAGCTCTGTATTCACATGAGTACCCCTGCCCAATTTAAAAATGGACTAGAGATGGGGGCTGGAGCAATGGCTCAGCGGTTAAGAGCACTGACTGCTCTTCCAGAGGTACTGAGTTTAATTCCCAGCAACCACATGGTGGTTCACAACATCTATAATGGGATCTGATGCCCTCTTCTGGCTGCAGGGCAGACAGAGCACTCATCTTAAAAAAAAGTGGGGGAGGAGCTGGAGAGATGGCTCAGTGAGTGGTTGAGTACTTGCTGCTCTTGCAGAGTACCTGGGTTTAGTCCACCAGAGGATCTCCAAATGTACATACATGAACATGGGAACACACATCCATACACAAAAATCCTTGGCTTGTTTCTGTTAAACTTTTGTACAGCTGTAATCCCAAGTTTCTGAGTTAGAGGCAGACCATGTTCCTGATGTGTAGCCCTAGCCTGCAGTGACTGGCTAGCTAGGAGCATATTCTAAAATAATGATTTGTCAAGCCAGGCAGTGGTGGCACACACCTTTAATCCCAGCATTCAGGAGGTAGAGACAGGTGGATCTCTGTGAGTTTGAGACCAGCCTGGATTACAAAATGAGTTCCAGAACAGCCAGGGGTACACAGAGAAACCCTGTCTCTTAAAACAATCCAGGAAAAAAAAAGAGAGAGAAACAAATAATAATAATTAGTCAAACCAGAAGTGATGTCCTAGCTTCAGGTGTCTAAAACAGGTGAATTATTTTTTTTTAATTTTTTTATTATTTTATTGAGAAAAAAAAATTTCCGCCTCCTCCCAGCCTCCCACTCCTCCCCCGTCCCCCCACTCCTCTCCCCCTCCCTCTCAAGTCTGAAGAGCAGTCAGGGTTCCCTGCCCTGTGGAAAGTCCAAAGTCCTCCCCCCCTCCGTCCTGGTCTAGGAAGGTGAACATCCAAACTGGCTAGGCTTCCACAAAGCCAGAACAAGCCAGAACATGTAGTAGGATCAAAACCCCGTGCCATTGTCCTTGGCTTCTCAGCAGCCCTTATTGTCCGCCATATTCAGAGAGTCCGGTTTTATCCCCTGCTTTTTCACAGTCCAGCTGGCCTTGGTGAGCTCCCAATAGATCAGCCCCACTGTCTCAGTGGGTGGGTGCACCCCTCTTGGTCCTGACTTCCTTGCTCATCTTCTCCCTCCTTCTGTTCCTCATTGGGACTTTGGGAGCTCAGTCCAGTGCTCCAGTGTGGGTCTCTGTCTCTATCTCCATCCATCGCCAGATGAAGGCTCTATAGCGATATGCAAAATATTCATCAGTATGGCTATAGTATAGGATCATTTCAGGTTCCCTATCTTCAGCTGCCCCAGGAACTAACTGGGGACCTCGCCTTGGGCAAAACAGGTGAATTATTTAAGCTTGGGAGTTGTGATCAGCATGGTCAGCATAGTGGCCTCATGTCACATATTAGAAAAATGTTGTAAAATAAAAGTATAAGTTAGGCTGGAGTGATGGCTCAGAGGTTAAGAGTACTGGCTGCTCTTCCAGAGGTGCTGAGCTCAAGTCCCAGCAACCACGTGGTGGCTCATAGCTGTAAGATTTGGTGTCCTCTTCTGCATGCAGGCATACATGCAGGCAGAACAACTGTATACACAAGAAAGTACAATAAGCACACAAAGTTCATTGTTTATTATCAAATGTCAGATACTGTAACTGCTGCAGTTGTGGTGGATTTTTGAGACAGGGCTTCTCTGTGTAGCTTTAGTTGTCCTGGAACTTGATCTGTAGACTAGGCCTGCCTCTGCCTCTCGAGTGCTGGGATTATAGTTTTGTGCCACCACCGCCTGGCTTTACACTTTCATCTAAGATGCTGTTTATGCCACTGTGCAGGTTAGTGTGCAGTACGTTGGCTGTAGTCTGTCGTCAGCACTGCACTGACTACAGCTGCGGTGACATCTCTCAGCGGTAGGCATTCTTCACTTCATTATACTCTTAGGGCACTGCTGCTGTGTATTTGGCCCATCACTGACCCATCGCAGGGGTGTGACACATTGCTCTATTACAGTCTGCTTATGACTGTCACAGTGCATGTGGCTACCTCCTGGCAGGTTCATCTGAGGAACATAGAGGCTTGTTAGTAATATCCATAATAAATGAACGCTTTCTGCCCAACCTGCCCAAAACCAGTATTTTGCTTCAGATGTCTTTGGCTGTACCTCTCAGTTACACACTATAAAGCATGGCTTTTCTGTTCAAGCTGACTGTCATTAATACATCCTTACGTTCTAGCTTTATTTCTGCTGTCATGACAAAACGGACAAAGAGCAACAGAAGGGAGGAAGGAGTTTATTTGGCTCACAATTCCAGGCTGCAGCCCATCATTCTGGGGAAGGCAAGACAGACATCTGAAGCAGATAACATCTTACCCAGTCGAGAGCAGAGAAGTAAAATACATCAAAACTGCCTGCTGCACACTTTTCTACTCCCAGAGATACACTTGTTTGAATCCCAGTCTCGTGGGCCAGAACACCACTTCAGCTTGGAAGAGGTCACTGAATTTTCACCATGACAGGATTGGTCTTGATTTGATCAATGGGAAACCACAAGACAACAAGCAAGAAGGGTTCTTTTGAATCAACCACAGTTAAAGTGAGGAGCCTGAAGTCTGCAACAAAAGCCCCAATCACCATCCTTTGAATGGGTCATTTTGGGGTCCAGGCATGATGGCATACACCTTTTTAATTCCAGTACTCAGAAGGAGGAGGCAGGTAGCTCTCTGGGAGTTCAAAGTTAGCCTGGTCTACAAAACAATTTCAAGGCTACATGGTAAAGACCTATCTCAAAAACAAAAACAAAATAAAACAAACAAAAAAAAATCGATGATCTGATAAAATTGCACCCAGAAAGCAAAGACGATAAACATGGAAGTTATGAAAACGCCGCCGTTCACTCTGGAGCCCTTGATGGCTGATTGATTGGATTTCCCTTTTATTTATAGCAGTGTCAGACGCAATGTCTTAGCCTTGGGTGTCTCATTAAAGTACAGCAAGCTGACCACCTGGCTTCCTGTCCTCACTTTGGTCCTCTGATTTCACATACTATAGTGTTTCACTGATTTAGCAAGAAGTGTTCATGGGTGATGGCTGTCAAGCAGGTCATCCTCTCTGAACACACATTGCTATCCCCATCCCACCCCCAATGCACAGGGCTGCCACACCACGAGTCCCGCCCATTCTCTCAAGGCTGTGTAACAAGGTCACTAGAATCCTACAGCCGGATGCTCCCAGAGGATGGCCCAAGGCGATGGCTCCTCCATCGATGTTGACCTACAGGAGGGGAGGAGATCAAGTCAGTCTTCTGTGGACACAAGCTAGCACCCCCAGTTTATCTTTGTCCTCTCAGGGTTATGCTAGCAAACCACCCTTTCAACTCCCACTGTCAAGCTTAAGAGTAAATACTGCTGATGTCCTTGTTTCTAGACTGTCCTATTCATTGTGAACGCAGTTCTCCTCTGTGAAAAACAAATAAGTCAACTGAAACTTAACTAGTATTTGTTCATCTCTTGCCAAGATAACCAGTCTTGGGAAATAACCTCATTTGTTGGTTTTTACAACCCTAAACTTGGATTGTGCAAGTCCACTGGCAAACCACACAATTCATGTTGGTTACCTTCTCTGGGTTTAATCCAAGTTCCTTAGCTATCGCAGCAGACACTGCTGCAAAGGCTTCATTGATTTCAAACAGGTCGACATCCTCCAGGGACCAGCCTGCTTTCATAACCTACAGGAAAGATGAACTGAAGTCGAATCATTCATTACTAACATTAACGGTATAAACTTGAGGTGCTGGAGAGACGGTTCAGTGGTTAAGAATACTTGCTGCTCTATCATGAGGATGAGACTTCAGACCCAGAACTCATGTTGGGTAGCTCACAAACCCCTGCAACTCCAGCTCTACGGCATCACATGCCCTCTTGTGGCCTCCAGGGGCAACTGCATGCTTGCACACACAATAATTAAAAAAGAAAAGATACAGTGATATACATAATATCCCCCTCAGTGATACCCCTTTTAGGAAACTGCCTATGAAAGTAGGTGTGCCATGGTGGTTTCTGTCTGTAAATACAGGGCTGAGGAGGCCACAGTCAGCCTGCATAATGACACCCCATCTGAAACCACTGGCAGTATGGATTGTTTCTATCTGAGCCTGTGATGTTTCCCTGCTCAACCCCCCCCCCCCCAGTGAAGCTGACGCCATTCAAAAGGCAGATGATGTTCTCTAGGTAGATGTGGGGACACACACCTGTAATCTTAGCACCTCAGGAGCTCAGGCAGGACAGTATCTAAAATCATAGAGAGCAAGGCTCAGCCTCAAAACCAAAAGAATATACTCTAAATACCCCTTAACATAGGAAGTCTAGCCTGTGTTAAACACAAAACAAACATGTGTTATGCGCAGGTAATACAGATACAGATACACACTTGTATCTGACTTTTAAAAAACCTAGGGGCTGGAGAAAGACCAGATGCACTTCCAGATGACCCATACACGGTTCCCAACACTCACATGGCAGCTCACCATACAGCCTGTAACTCCAGTCCCAGGGGATCTGGCACCTCCACTGGCAGACATATATACAAGCAAGACACTCATGCACATAAAACAAAACAAAATAAAATAAGATAAAATAAAATAAAAATTGACCCGGGGCTGGAGAAAATGGTTCAAGAGGCAAAGTGCAAATGTTCCAAGGTCAATCCCCAGAACCCACACTGGGAAAAAATGGTACGCTTGGTGGTGGTGGCGCATGCCTTTAATCCCAACTCAGGAAACAGAGGCAGGTGGCCTACAAAGCGAATTCCACAGCTAGAGCGACACAGTGAAAGCCTATCTTGAAAACCAAACCAACCAAACAAAGAACCAGGCATGGTGGTGCTCCTGGGATCACACTGCTGGGAAGGCAGAGATGGGCAGATCTCAGGGCTGGAAAGACACCTAGGCTATCTCAAAAATACAAGAGAAGGGTGCAGCTAGTTGGTTTCACTCTGGAGCTCCCCAGGTCTCACAAGTCTAAGGCAAGAACAATTCCTGCAAGTTGTTGTCTGACTTCCACATATGTCCCAAGCCTACACAAATACACAAACACACACCCTGGACAAGCAGGTCATTCTTCAGTGACAGGGTCCTAGATCAGGTCCTAGACCAGGAGCAAGAAGAGAGGAAAGCCAAGGCAAGGATGTCTTGCACAAGCTATGTCTCATGCTAAGCTAGCTTTTTAGTAAGTACAGCGCCTTATATGCAGCTTCTAGGGGAGAATGGGACAATGGAAAAAGTCAGCAGGAAGCTAACCAAGCAGTGTTGCACAAGTGGAACGCAGGGTATCTCAAGTGAGCCACACACCAAGCACACGGTGGCCTTGGGGCTGAGAATTCTAGTCTCTTCAGGGGGAAAAACACAACTCCTTCAAGGTCTTGACTCCAGCTCCAAACTAGATCTTGCCACACATGTCCCTGGGCAAGGACACAAAACTAGGTTCCGTTTGTCCTATCAACTGGGCATCTGAGAAGCCTCAGAGTGGCCTGGCTCTCTCTCTACACACACACACACACACACACACACACACACACACGTTTTTAAAAAAATATACAATCTTTTATTTTGTATATGAGCATTTTGCCTGTGGGTGTGTAAGTTCACCACTTACATGCCTGGTGAGGGTTACGGATTTTAGAAGAGGGCCTAGATCCCTAGGGACTGGAGTTACAGACAGTTGTGCGCTGCCATGTGGGTGCTGGGAATTGAACCCAGGTCCTCTGGAAGAGCAGTCAGTGCTCTTAACCACTGAGCCATCTCTCCAACCCTCATATATGTAGGTTGGTTTTTTGTTTGTTTTGCTTTGTTTTTCAAGCAGGATTTCTTTGTGTATCCCTGGCTGTCCTAAAACTCACTATGTAGACCAGGCTGGCCTCAAACTCACAGATATCTGTATGCCTCAGCCTCCCAAGTGCTGGGATTAAAGGCATGGGCCACCACCACCTGGCTTTTTTTTTTTATTGGAACAACAATGTGTCTCTACCTTCTCACAAACCCAAAGACACAGTTATATACACAAATATGTGACCCGAAAGTTAGGGAGAGAACTAAATTCACTTAAGGCCTGGGGAATACAATGTTTTCACAAAAGGCAAACAGCAAATAAAGGCTGGTAGAAGTAACAAAATCACGCATGTCCTTACACTTCAGAGTGACAGTGAAAGGGGAGGGGCTTAAGAGGAGCTTGTACAGAACTGCAGTCAGCTGCCCTCAGAGCATCAACAAAGTCAGGGATGAGGTCCACAAAGATGAGGCAGATAGATACGCAGGTGCAGACAATGGTCTCAGGAGTTGGGGAAAGGAGGCTGAAGGCCCAGGAGTACAAGGTTGCTCAAGATCGTCCTGGGCTACACAGAACTTTGTTATAAACATGGAAAACAAACAGCTGAAAGGCTACAGAGTAAGACTCACAGCTTGCTTTATGGCTGGAATTGGTCCTGCTCCCATAATGGAGGGCTCCACGCCAGCTTGTGACCAGGAAACTATTCTTGCTAAAGGTCTCAGCCTTCGACTCTCAGCTTCTGTCTTCTTCATAAGAACCACAGCCGCGGCACCGTCATTTATCCCTGTGAACAAGTGACTTGGTTTCTACAGTGCTCTTCATCAGGTATGTACCCAGGCCACCACCTTTTCCACCTGAAAGCATCAAGTTACTGACAGGTTGGCAAAGCCCTTGCCTGTGATTCATCAGACCGCACAGTGTACTTAGAAATGGTCAAGGTTGCTGGGTGGCCACAGCAGCGGCCTTTAGAACCAGCCTTTGGGAGGCAAAGGCAGGTGGACCTCTGTGAGTTCAAGGCCAGCCTGGTCTACAGAACAAGTTCTAAGACAGGCACCTAGCCTGTTACACAGAGAAACTCTGCCTTGGAAGGGAGGGAGGAAGGGAGGGAGGGAGGGAGGGAGGGAAGAAGGGAGGGAAGGAGAAAGGGAGGGAGGGAGGGAAGAAGGGAGGGAGGGAGAAAGGGAGGGAGGGAGGGAGAAAGGGAGGGAGGGAGGGAGGGAGGGAGGGAAGGGAGGAAAGGGAAGGAAACGGTAAAAATCAAGTTTAGAATATGATATTGACCACACAACACTGCAAGACTCTTCCAAAAGCAATGGGGAAGGGAGATGGAAGGAAACTAAAGAAACAAACCTAGGCCTCACTCACAGATACTGGGAACTTTCTGGAACTAGAAAAATATGAAGGAGGGCTGGAGAGATGGCTCAGTGGTTAAGAGCATTGCCTACTCTTTCAAAGGTCCTGAGTTCAATTCCTGGAAACCACATGGTGGCTTACAACCATCTGTAATGAGGTCTAGTGCTCTCTTCTGGCCTGCAGTCATATACACAGACAGAATATTGTATACATAATAAATAAATAATTTAAAAAAAAAAGGATAACTCTGAAGTCTTTTTTTTCTTTTTCTTTTTTTTTTTTTTTTGAGACAGGCTCTTTCTAGCCTTGGCTGGCCCAGAACTCCCTATGTGTACCAGGTATACTAGGCTGGCTTCACCTCACAGAACTCTGGTGCAATGCTGAAATTAAATGAGTGCCTCTCCATGCCTGGCAACTTTAAATTCCCTCCACTCCCTTGAGACAGGGCTTCTCTGTGAAGCTCTAGCTGTCCTGGAACTCACTCTGTAGACCAGGCTGCCCTAGAACTCACGACATACTAGGATTACAGGTGTGTACCACCACTGGCCAGACAACTTCATAGTTTTATTCTTTCACACATATGTTTAATCTAGGTGTCAAGAAAGGAAATCACTTCATTAAGTATAGATTAACTAGCCAAGCATATAGAAACAATAAGCTTCCCCCTTAAACCCAGATTTAGGAATCATGTTGTGTAGAAAGACATATTCACTTGGTAGACCTCACCAGTTGGTTCTTCCCTTAATGCCCTTCAGAAATCGAACCTGATGCATTAGCTGGGGTGACTGTTCCCGTCCCATCAGAAAGGAAGTAAGGTTTCAGCTTGCCCATGGCTTCCATGTTACTCCCATGGCGAGGAAACTCATCAATTTTCACTTCGGTAGAACCTGCAAAAAGTAAAACCAGTTATCCCCCTGGGATGAGTACAGAGAAGGCAGAGTGCTGGGAATTGCTAGAATTACTGCATGCTACCCCCCCATGAGAACTCTTCATGAGACAGTCTTTCTGTGTTCCAAATCCACAGCCCTTCCTAAGGACAGAGGTTATTAGTATTGTATGCACATGGGTTTGAATCACAGCATTCAGCTGGCTACAACTGAGTGGCTCAGGACTGGGACAATCCACCTTCTATGAGCTAAGCATGAATGTCAGTTATGGATAAGGGAACTGTCTGCAGATTTGGCGTCAGAGCATGGATAGAACCCTAACATGATGCGTCTTTAAGGAACTAGAAAGATTGTTTAGTCTTTAAGGTTGCTTGCTATTCATCATGATGACCAGAATTGGCATCTACCTCCATCCAGCAGCTCATAAGAACCTGTAACTCCAGTTCCTAGGGATCCAAGATCTTCAAACAGTCCCAAGGGTATCCACACACATGTGCATATACTCACAGATACAGATAGACAGACATATGCACACACATGAAAATAAGGTAAGATACATCTTTTGAGAATGTGCTCCCTTCAGAATGCAAGTGTGAGACACAAGATCAACTCTGCAGAGTAGATGCCATTCCGGAAAGGTTTGGAGAGCTATTGTCCCCTAACGACCACAGACCGATGCTCCACTTCTCATGGAGCCCACTGCATACACACTGCAGCTGTGGACAGTTTGAAGATGACAGTTTCCCATGTGACCATATCCCGTGTAGACAGCACTTTCCAGCCAGGTGTGGTGTCGCACCTGTTATCCCAGCACTCAGCAGGCAGAAGCGGGGGAGGCCAGCCTGGTCCACAGAGTGAGCTCTAGGCCATCTACACAGCAAGATCATGTATCAAAACAACATGCTGGGCAGTAGTGGCCACACCTTTAATCCCAGGACTCAGGAGAGAGAATCAGGCAGATCTCTGTGATCTACAGAGTGAGTTTCAGGACAGCCAGGGCTACACAGAGAAACCCTGTCTTGAAAAACCAACCAAACAGGGGCTGGAGAGATGGCTCAGAGGTTAAGAGAACTGACTGCTGTTCCGGAGGTCCTGAGTTCAATTCCCAGCAACCACATAATGGCTCACACCCATCTATAATGAGATCTGGTGCCCAGAACCCTATATACATAATAAATGAACTTAAAAAAAAAAGAAAAACCAAGCAACAAGCAAACCTAACAACAACAACAACATCACCATCAACTCTCTCACATGCCGATGTGTGAAGCCTACACCTCTACAACTTGTAAAGCCTAAAGTTCACATACAGCCCTCCATACCACCCTTAGGTGTCAGTCACGCCTACAAACAGGCTCATGTGTACTGTGGTCTCCATACTCACCTTTCCTGGAAGACACCAGCACTGGCACGATCTCCTTGTCAAAGTGGCCAGCTTTCTGTGCATGCTCCGCCCTGTTCTGGGACAGAACTGCAACCTTGTCCTGGGCTTCTCTGCTCACTTGCCATTTTTTGGCTACATTTTCAGCTGAGGAGAAAAAAGAAAAAAACAGCACTTTCAAAAGCTGGGTTTTTTGGGATTTTCTTTCTTTCTTTCTTTCTTTCTTTCCTTCTTTCTTTCTTTCTTCCTCGAGACAGGGTTTCCTCTGTGTAGCTTTGGTGCCCGTCCTAGAACTCACTTTATAGACCAGGCTGGCATGGAACTCATAGAGAGCAGCCTAGATCTCACAGAGATCTGCCTGTCTCTGCCTCCCAAGTGCTGGGATTAATGATGTGTGCTACCACTGCTTGGCTTCTTTCATTCTTTTTTTTTTTAATTTTTAAATCAGGAAATTTAACATTGATACCATTTCTTGGCTTCTTCATCAAACCTTACCTTTTGATATAATATGACTTAAGAATAAGCCAGTTTAGTTGGTGGTGGCGCACGCCTTTAATCCCAGCACTCTGGAGGCAGAGGCAGGAAGATCTCTGAGTATCAGGCTACTGCATTAATTAGGATCTGGTGCTCTTCACTGTAAATGTCTTTAGATCTTCAGACTACCTGTGCTCCTTAAGTTTGATATCCATTTTTCAATTTTAAGAAGATTTTGATTTATTTTACATGTGTGTTTGTGTCTGTGTGCACACGTGCAGTTGGCTAAGGAGGCCGGAACATGGCCTCAGATGTCTGGCACTGAGCCACCTGACATGGTTGCTGGGAACTGAATACTGGTCCCCTAAAGTACAGTAAGCACTTTTAAACACTGAGTCATCTTTCTAACCATGGCTAGAAAGCTCCTCTCTTCCATCACATTACCTTATATTCCTCACTGAATAATGGCGTGTTGGCACAGGTGGTAACCAGTTTATCTTGCTTATGGATAGTCAGTGAGGCTTGGTGCCCTTGGAGATGAAGTTTCTGTGTTGTTTTCTTTGTTTGAGTGCTTGTTTTGTATGGAGCCCAGAACACCACATATGCTGAACAAGTGCTCTAACCTGAAACTAGCTTCAGGATCTAAATTTTTAATGACCATCTTAGTGATGTTCAGGCAGCTAGTGTTGAAGGAGCTGCGGGCCTCTTCCCACAGCCCAGCTCCTGGCCGCTTGGCTAGCTTATACCCCGAAATAACAACACACAAATTGTATTCATTTAAACACTGCTTGGCCCATTATATCTAGCCTCTTCTTGGCTAACTCTCGCACCTGGACTAGCCCATTTCTAATAATGTGTGTAGTACCCCAAAGTGTGCTTACCGGGAAGATTCTAGCCTACGTCCATCCTGGGTCAGAGCGTCATCATGTCTGCTCCAGAGAGCAGAGCTATCAAGTCTGAGCTCACTTCCTCTTCCTCCCAGCATTCTGTTCTGCCTACTCTACCCACCTAAGGGATGGCCTATCAAAATGGGCCAAGGCAGTTTATTACCAATGACCTTCCTCCATCAAGCTAGTATGAGTGTCTATCTTGAGAAACTAGCTAGACACGAGGTGGCTAAGATCCAGGTAAGAACCAGGACACCTTCCATGGTCTGCTGGTGTTTTTTAGCTTTCTGGGCTGTTGAATCCCTGACTGACACATCCCCAAGACCTCCTTGCATTTGCACACGCTGTCTCTTGTGCCTACACTCTTGGCCTTTTCCTATCACCCTATTCCTATGACTGGTACTTCTCACGGAACCTCAGTCATTGCTGCCAGCTTTAGAACAAGTTGCTTCACTTCTCAGGGTTTATTTAATACACAGTCAAATGTTACTTCTGTTTAAGATTTTAGAAATATATAGATTTATTTATTATTGATGTTTTTAGAGACAGGGTTTCTGTGTAGCCTTGGAGCCTGTCTTGGTACTTGCTCTGTAGACAAGGCTGACCTTGAACTCACAGAGATTGGCCAGCCTCTGCCTATCAAGTGCTAGGATTAAAAGTGCTACCACTACCTGGCAAGTTATATTTATATATAGTAAAAATATTGATTTTTCAATTGCTTCATCTGTCAACACAGGATACAAGGACCAAGATCGGTGGTTCTGAACTCTCCTAATGCTGCAGCCCTTTCATACAGTTCCTCATGCTGTGGTGACTCCCAACCATAAAATTATTTTTGTTGTAACTTCATAACTGTAATTTTGCTACTATTACGAATCGTAATGTAAGTATCTGATATGCAGATGGTCTTAGGCTGCCCCCATGAAAGCGTCTCTCGATCACCCAAAGGGGTAACAACTCTGCTTCCTTATTTAATGAAATGAGGGGGTTAATCCAGAAGATCATAGCATTCTTCCATGCCAAGGATTTATAAGTAGAGAGTATCGATGTACTCATTTCAGTTCTGCAGAGAAAATGTATCTGTAAAGAGAGCACACTAAGGGGCTAGAGAGATGGCTCAGCGGTTAAGAGCACTGACTCTTCTTCCAGAGGTCCTGAGTTCAATTCCCAGCAACCACATGGTGGCTCACAACCATCTGTAATGAGATCTGGTGCCCTCTTCTGGGGTGCAGGTACACATGCAGGCAGAATACTGTATACATAAAAAATAAATAAATCTTAAAAAAAAAAAAGAGAGAGAGAGCACACTAAGGAGAGCAGGCAGTTTAGAGCAGCCTGTATGCTGTCTCTCTGCTAGGCTTAGACCCTGTGGAACTTCCTAAGGATGTGGTACCTTCTACTGTCAGCTTCCTGGGCAGGATGAACCTTCTGGAATACAGTTTTCTTTTAAATATTTTTTAAAAAAAATATTTAATTAATCCAGCCCTCTTTTAAACATTTTTTTAAAAAATATTTAATTAATTTAATTTTATGCTTGACTGTTTTACTTTCATGTATGTATATGTACCATATGCATGCTTGCTGTCCTTGGAAATCAGAAAAGGGTATTGGATCCCGTGAAATCATTTTGTGGGAGGTAGGAATTGAACTTGGATCCTCTGCAAGAGCACTGAGTGCTTTTAGCTGCTGAGCCATCTCTCCAGCCCCTAAACTGGAGCTTTCATACCTACACACAACAGTCATGTTTTTAAGGGTTTTTTTGTCTTTTGTTTTTGATTCCTTTTTTTTTTTTGATTTTTCGAGACAGGGTTTCTCCGTAGCTTTTGGTTCCTGTCCTGGAACTAGCTCTTGTACACCAGGCTGGCCTCGAACTCACAGAGATCCGCCTGCCTCTGGCTCCCGAGTGCTGGGATTAAAGGCGTGCGCCACCACCGCCCAGCTGTCTTTTGTTTTTGAGACAGGAACTAAATGTGGTGTATTTCTGGCTGGCCTAAAAGCCCACACAGTACTAAGAAGAATGGTCTAAAACTCACAGAGATCTGTCTGTCACTGCCTCTCAAGTGTTGAGGCTAAAGGTGTGTATCACGATGCCTGCCTAAGTTCTTTAAAAAAAAGTTTTTAAAATTTATTATTTTTATTTATGTGTATGTATGCTGGGCTGAATTAGCTTATGTACACCATGTATGTATAGTGCCTGTGGAGATCAGAAGGCAAATGATCCCATGAAACTGGAGTTAAAGATGATTGTGAGCCACATGATGTGGGTGCTGGGAACCAAACTCAGGTCCTTTGCAACAAGGCTAGTACCCCTGACCATTGACCCATCACTCCGATAATAGTCATCATTACACTGGTAGCTCAGCCATGGCATCAGCAAAATGTGCCTTTCAGGACGTCACTTGCTGTCCATTCAGGTTCCTAACAATCTTCTATTACTGTCTCACTTTCTTGGTTTTATGACCTTAAAATCTGGTGAAACTCTTTGTCATCTTGTGGCTGCTTTGTATTGTCATCTACCCTCTGCCAGTGACAATGTGGACATACCGTCAGCAGGTGCTATAGGGAACATTAAAGACAGAATGAGTGAGTCACAGACATTTGGAAGGCATGACCTCTTTCTCCTTGCTTGTGTGCAGGGTCTAGCTACTAAAGTCTGATGCTGATCAATGATATCTACAGCTGTAACAAATTCTCTGGAATCAGGTCAAAAGCAGATCACAGGCCACCTAGGGAAGCTCCTTGAGTATTCAACACCATACATATTCCAGGACTCCTTGGGAGCTACTGTATGCCTTAGCTTCCTCACTAAAGCAGATGCTGGACAGGAGGGTAGCATGATGGTCACCAGACTCACAGCCTACACTACGAACCTCAAGTCCCATGCTCTTGTAAACCTTTTCTAAGCCGGTGTTTGCAGCCACATCAGCCTTACCTGTGATGCCCATGTGATAGTTGTGAAACGCATCTGTAAGGCCATCACAGAGGATGCTGTCAGCCAGCGGCATCTCACCCATCTTGACTCCTGCTCTCAGGTGAGCCAAGTGAGGGGCCTGGAAATGGACGTGAAAACAGGTTAGTCTTGGTGGTCATTATCCTCTCCTTATGAATGGTCTGGACCTGACTTCCTCCCTCTTCATTTACCCATCAAGCCCTTCTCCCCACTACCTGCTTCCCCAGGTCAGGGCCTGAAACCTGTTGGCATTAGCAGACCATCCCACCTGCCTCCCCTTAGGAATCTCTTCCTCTATAACTTGTCTATTTCCATTTCTCCCTCAAACCTGTCCATTCTGGGTTTTAAGTCCTAATGATTCCACTTTTTCCTCCTAGATAGACAAGTATTACCTTAGGTGATGGCATAAAAACCCCAATCATGTACCTATTTTAATAAATGTTGTGTTTAAACTGGGTGGTGGTGGCACATGCCTTTAAACCCAGCACTCAGGAGGCAGAGGCAGGCAGATCTCTGTGAGTTCGAGGACAGCCTGGTCTACAGAGTGAGTTCCAGGATAGGCTCCAAAGCTATACAAAGAAACGCTGTCTCAGAAAACCAAAAAAAGAAAGAAAGAAAGAAATGTCATGTGTGCCTGAAGAGACCAGAGGGAACTGGATGCCCTGGAGCTGGATTATAGGCAACTGCGAGGCCCCTGACTATGACGCTAGGAGCTGGGCTGGAGCACGTGTCACAACAGTACCAGCCCTCCACCACCCTTCAATGCTCCAGCACATCTAATGTCCGTTTAGACAGGAGACAGAAGACCCACAGGGAGAACAGTCAGGTTTCCAAATGAACTGAGAGGAGGGTTTCTAAACAGAAGGTTTTTCTAACTTCCAGCATACAAAGGAAAGGGTAATAATGGACCAGGAGTCCACAGAGGCGAGTCAATCATACAATGATATCTAGAAAAGTACAATGATATCTAGGAATGAAAATGACATAATTAAACCCATAATATCATATGCTTATTGTTTTTAAGAAGCAACAAAACAAAAGCCATGCATTTAAGTGGCAGCTCTGGATATCAGTGTTCCCACCTCTAAAGTGGGAATAACAACACTAATTGTTGGGAATAACAACACTGGTTTGTTGACCACACACAACAGCCCTAGGTCCAGGTCTGCACTGTAACTGTGTCTGACCAGAAAGACTCCATCTATTGTGTGTGACCTTCGGCCTCCTCCTAGTGGCTGAGCTCACTAGGATTCCGACCAGTGGCTTCCAAGGTCAGCCCTGGAGCTGCTTCAACAGGAAGAAGATACTGCTCCATTGCAGTGCCAGCTTCAAGGACAGCACTTGGCAAGACAGAGCAGGATGGCAAACCTCCTGGAGAGGGGCAGCTCTCCATGACCCTTGGCCACGATCTTTCTTTTGATTTTTGAGACAAGGCCTTGCCGTGTGATCTAGGCTGGTCCTGAGCTTCTGGGCTCACGTGCTTCTCAGTCTCATCCTCCTGAACAGCAGGGACTGGGCATGCTTCACCATGGGTGTCTTTTATGTGTTCTACCCTCTAGGAGATCAACAAAGTCTGGTCCCTGGGGTTCCTCCCGACCAAGGGCCATGGCAAGGTTAAGTGGCCACCTGTCACTGGACCCTTCCTCACATGGGAAAACATAAAGACAAGCTAGCCTGTCTCCTGTTCCCTCTGTCCTGCTCAGGTGCTATGTGCTGTGTGTGTGGATCATGGTCTCGAGTATTTGTGTGGACTGTTCTGAGCTCTGGCTCCCAGTCTAAAGTAGAACACTGTCTGGGGTTGTGCTGTAACCTGGACTGATGATCTGTGTCTAGGAACAGGCTGCTCGAGCTGCACAGAATCCTACCTGACATGTTTGAGTTCAGTTGCCCTAGGACTTTCAGCTGTGGGGCATTGTCTCTAGAGTTCAATCCAATATGAACTAGGGATTTTAAACAGCAGATTTATGAGCTCCACTGACCACTCTGTTTAAAGAACATTTAGATCCATCTCTCCAAAAAAGGGTAGCGTCAGCCCTCGTGTGGGCAGTGATGGGTAGATTTCTGTGAATTTGAGGCCAACCTGGAATACTTGAGAAGTTCCATGCCAGTCCAAGCTACATAGGACCCTCTGTAAACTCTGGGGGTGGGGAAAATAGCATGGTGGTACACACCTTTGATCCGTGTACTCAGGAAGCACAGATAGGCAGATCTCTGAGTTTAAGGTCAGCCTGTTCTACAAAACAAGTTCCAGGACAGCCAGGGCTACCCAGAAAAGTTGTTTTTAAAAACCAGTAATAAGTGAATAAAAACAAAAGGGGGGAAAAAGAGCCGGGCGGTGGTGGCACACACCTTTAATCCCAGCACTCAGGAGGCAGAGGCAGGCAGATCTCTGGGAGCTTGAAGCCAGCCTGGTCTACAAGAGCTAGTTCCGGGACAGGCACCAAAAAGCTACAGAGAAACCCTGTCTCGAAAAACCAAAAAAAAAAAAAAAAAAAAAAAAAAAGGGGGCGGGGGGAAGACATTTCAGTGAGATGGCTCAGTGGTACAGGCAGTTGTACCAAGTCTGATGATCTGAGTTCAAGCCCCACAACCCACCTGGTGGAAGAGGAGACTCTGCTCCAGAAGCTGTCCTCTGACCTCCACCTGCCTAGGGGAAGGGGCATGTGCCCACTTTATTTTATTACCATTTCTTTTTTGATATTAAAGGTGTGTCCCACCACTTCCAGCCTCTATTATTGTTATTTTTATAGAGAAGAGGAGAATGATAGCGGTGCATGATGGGAAACAACCTACCACAGAAATGAAAAACTTGACAGCGTCTCAGGTGGCAATCTGGGGCCTAACCACGATATCAGTCAGGAGCAGTTACTCCTTTGTTGGACTATCTAATATTTATTCTTTGATAATAAGTAGAGGAGTTGAATTATAAATCTGGATGATTCAGGTGGCCTCAATAACCTTGTTGCCAACTTCATAAGTATGAAGATAGTCTTTTATCGTTTTAATGTTCTCAAAACGTTATTTCCTGTAACAGACATGTTTACTACCTTTTTAAGCAGGGTAAAAAGGAGCTTTTAAACCTTTAAAGTTGGGAAGTAGAAAAAGATAAGATATTCTGCGTAAATTGAAAACATTGGGACCGTGGGAGAGGGTTGGAGAGACACGGAGAGGCAGGGAGGGGAGCAGAGCAAAATGTAGATCTCAGTAAAAATCAATAACACCCCCCGCAAATGTTGTAAAGAAGACAACTCTTAAAGAAAAGTTTTGGGGCATGTGGACGTGGTGTACGCCTTTAATCCCAGTACAGAGACAGGCAGATCTCTGTTTCAGGCCAGCCTGGTCTACTGAGTGAGTCTAGGCAAGCCAGGACTGCACAGAGAAACCCTACCTCAAAAAAGCAAAAGAAAGAAAGAAAGAGAGAGAGAAATGATGAGAGAGAAAGGAGCGGGGGAGAGGGAGAGAGGGAGAGAAGGGGAGAGAGAGAGATATTAGCTTTGGATACTTGGATAATATTCAAATATTTAAAAAGGTTTCTGGGCACAGTAGCATATGCCTGTAAACTTAGCACTCAGGAAGCAGAGCTGGAGAGGCAAGCACTTAAGGATAGCCTAGGATATGTAACAATTCCTGGGCTAGCCTTGGCTACATAGTAAGCACGGGTGAGACAGCAATGAGCTAATCTTGGGGGTTCATTTCAGAAAACACTGTATGCTTCTGGAAAAACAGCTTAGAAAAATCACACCCTGGCTCCACTGCCTGGCTGATGAGCTGTTTTTCATTTCCCATCCAACCTGGAGAACAATGGAAATTCAGGCAGGGCTCCAGGCTGAGTCGTTTTCCGTGTGTCCATCAGCAGCACACAGGACGGTGAGCCCCTCTGCACTTACCTTGCTCATGTTCTCCATGCCTCCTGCAACCACAATGCTGGAGTCACCTATGACTATGGACTGGGCTGCAAGGCACACGGCTTTCAGGCCTGAGCCACAGATCATCTGGCAGCTCCATGCTGGAACCGAGTAGGGGATTCCTGCACCCACACTGGCTTGTCGAGTGGGATTCTGCCCACAACCTGAAACAAGGAACACGGAGGCCTCTAAGCCATCAGGAGAAAGTAAAAGATGTGGGGACAAGTCTGGGCTAAATGCTCTCAGGCAGCCAAGTTCTCACAGAGCACAGATGCCTGCTTCCCTCCCTCCCTGCCACTCCACCTGGGACAGATAACACCTTGTGCAACTCCTAGGTGTTTCAACGAGACGCTTCCTCCTCCACAAGCAAGTTCCCAAAGCCTTAACACAGAACCTTAAGACCTTTCTCTCTAGAGGCCAGACTTTTCCTCCTACTCGGCAAGAAATGTAACTAAGACCAAGGGTGACAGCCAGCCGGTCACATGGCTGTAAACACACGGCATAATTCTGACATGGAGAGCACTTGCTCCCAGAAGCCTGCCATATAACAACGACACTTAGGAAGAAAAGAAAATTAAAGAGGAGAACTATGCATAAAAGCAATGTAGAAAATCGTGCTGGTGTTTTGTCGTAGCTCACACCTGCAACCCCAGCATTCTCTTAAGTCGAAGCAGAAGGTTCACAGTAAGTTCGAGGCTAGTCTGGGCTACATATTCAATTGAGACTTGCATGAACCGTGAGCAGTTCAAGTCAGTCTGAACTACATAGTGAATTCCAGGCCAAACTGTACTACATAGTAAGGCCTTTTCTCAAAACATAAAAACTAAAGTTAAATATATATAATAGAATTAGAACCAACAGGACTGGAGCGATGGCTCAGAATTAAGAGTATTGCCTGCTCTTCCAAAGGTCCTGAGTTCAATTCCCAGCAACTACATGGTGGCTCACAACCATCTGAAATGAGATCTGATGCCCTCTTCTGGGCTGCAGGCAGACACACAGACAGACTATTGTATACATAACAAACAAACAAATAAATAAATAAATAGGGGGTGAGGAAAGATACTCCTTTAAAAAAATAATTAGAACCAACAAACGCCTTTCTGTTGGCATATCCGTGATATCCTTCAGCTGGCAAAATCAGAATAGTTCCTTAAAAGAAGCAGAGAAGTACACAGTCTACTTCCTGTTGCCTGCATATCAACATGTTCCTTCTCCAGCACCATGTCTGTCTGTATACCGAGGTCTGCCATTCTGGTAATGGACTAAACCTCTGAAACTATAAGCCATCACCTCAATAAAATGTTTTCCTTTACAAAAAAAGGAAAGAAGCAGCAGCAGAGAAGGAATGGAGTCAAACCTTTGAAATGCTATCATATCTGTCATTGTATGACGAATGGCAGAGGGGTCCCGCCTTTGCAAGTTTCACATATACCCACATCTATGACACTTCCTTGCTGTAACTACAGTTCAAGGGACTCCAATACCTTTTTCTGGCCTCCCTGGAAACCTGGCATGCATGCAATATACAGACACACATGTAGACAAGACACCCATACACAAATATAACACAAATATAAAAATATATAAAAATAAATAAACATGTATACACACACACACACTTTTTTTTTTTAAAAAAAGAGCCAGGTGGTAGTGACACAAACCTTAAATCCCAGCACTTGGGAAGCAGAGGCAGGCAGGTCTCTTAGTTCGAGGCCAGTCTGGTCTACAGAATGAGTTATAGGACAGCCAAGGCTACACAGAGAAACACTGACTTGAAAAGATAAAGAAATGAGGAGAACTACAAAACTAAACTTAACAAATGCATGTCAAATATCTGTATTTTAAGAATCTCAAAAGCTCCAAAGTACTGAGCCTAGTATATATTCTTCTTTTTTCTGTGCAAGGTATTGAACCCAGTGGTGTGTGCATACCAGCCAAGTGGTCTACAACATTTGCAGCCTTTCCTGGCTTTCCTTCTTAGGAGGGATCATCTTGCTAAGGGCTCAGGCTGACTTCAATCCCATGACCCTCAATTCACAGGTCTCAGAGTGCTGAGGTTATACTCATGGATCAGCAAGCCAGGCAATATAAAACTTTTGTAAGCTGAAGGGACACTGCATGATCCCTTATATTCTAGTTAGAGTAAAGATGCAGTTTGACTTGTAGCAGGCTTTCTCACACCTCCAGCTCTCAAGTCATGACTCAGAGGCTTAATATTAGTTATGAATGCTTGGCCTTATGTATGTATGCATGTATGTTGGAGGGTGCCTGGTACTTGTGAAGCCCAGAAGAGGGTGTTCAGTTTCCTGGATCTGGAGTGAGGGAGGCTATAAACCTCCAAGAGAGTGCTAGGAACTGAGCCCAGGTCCTCTAGGAAAGCAGGAGCACCATCTCTTCAGGCTCTAAGAGAGGAAGATATGTTTTAGAGACACTTGTATTCCTCAGTCTTTCAGACTACTGAAACAGTGACCCCCAAACTGGAAGTCCCCACAAATCCTGTGTAGGAGAAGGAAGAAGTTGAGGCCTGATAGCAGGCAGAGGTAGAAGCTACCTCTTAGAAAAAGATCTTGTGGGCTGGAGAGATAGCTCAGAGGTTAAGAGCATTGGCTATTCTTCCAGAGGTTATGAGTTCAATTCCCAGCAACCACATGGTGGCTAACAACCATCTCTGTAATGAGATCTGGTGCCCTCTTCTGGTGTGCAGGCAAACACGCAGACAGAACACTGTATACATAATAAATAAAATAAATCTTTAAAAAAAAAAAAGATGCCGGGCAGTGGTGGCGCACCTCTTTAATCCCCCAGCACTTGGGAGGCAGAGGTGTGCGGATCTCTGTGAGTTCGAGGCCAGCCTGGTTTACAAGAGCTAGTTCCAGGACAGGCTCCAAAGCTACAGAGAAACCCTGTCTTGAAAAACCAAAAAAAAAAAAAAAAAGAAAGAAAAAGGTTTTGCACCAGGCACAGTGGTGGGATGCACCTTTGATCCCAGAACTTGGGAGGCAGAGGCAGGTGGACTTCTGTGAGTTTGAGGCCAGCCTGGTCTACAGACAGAATTTCAGGACTGACCCCATAGCTACTGGGAAACAGTAAGTGCTTGACCTGGACTTGGTAGTGTGCTCCTATAATCCCAGCACTCAGGCAGATCTCTGTGGGTTAGATGCCAGTCTGGTCTATGGTGCAAATTCTAGGACAGCAAGGTCTGCCACTCAGAGAAACCCTGCTTTTAAAAAAGAGATATCACACACTGTGACAACTTGTCAGACCACGTTGCTAACTCTATTTTGACCCAGGTGATGGGTCAATAGTGGGTGTGGCCCTAACTTGACTATTTAAAGTTACTCTCACTTCTGGACCATGAAGATGGACGTGAGGGCTCAATGGGTCTCTTTGCCTCTCTTCCCAGTTTAACCAAATTAAATAAATTCCCCGTGACTGCCCATTTTCTATCCATTTTGCTATTCCAGGCTTAATATTTGCTATTATGAAAGACAACTGGCTGAACCTGGCTTGAGATAATAATTGTGACATCAAGTTTGGTAACAATGATACTTCATCATATATATATACATACACGTGTGTGTTTATACATGTATATATACATATATGTGTCATGGAATATTATTTTAAGGTGTGCTACTTTAGTTGATACTCTGGAACATTTGTTAAATGATGCAAAGATGTGTTTGATTAAATAAAATTCACCTGCAGTCAGGAGGCCAAGTCAGCAACTAGCTGACAGGAAGTGGTAGGAAAGAGCCAGGTGGAGAAGCTTTTTAAGGAGGGGTGAGGAGAGGCACTTTTGGAGAGACAGGAGAAAGAGGTAAGCTACTTGCTATTCAGCCTCAAACCTTGAATCTTGAGTTAACCTTTAGAGGGACAGAGATTTAGTTAAGTTCCTTTAGTAGCTTTGAAAGAGTGGGTGCCTGAGGGAACAGAATTCCCTCAGGCCCTCGTGGCCTGTTCTCTGCAGATCATGGCAGAGTTGCAATTGCTGATTAGGACAGCTGTGGATTAAGAGGTAGCAATAATTTAGAAAAAGGACAACATTTACAGATGTTGCAAAATCCAGTGAGGGGATCTGAAATGAAAACAATCCCGGCTCCAAGTATTTCAAACATGGAATAGTCAGCCTGCACACCTGCAGATGGGCAAGGTCCCAGGCAGTGTAAGAACAGAAGTCGGTTGTGAATACTAATAATCAAATCTCTACAATCAGTTCAGATGTATGCCGAGGGACATAGGGGATGGCAAGACGGTGAACCCGTGATTTCACGCATGCTAATCACATACATCACCACTGAGCTACACACCCAGACCCCATGTCTATTATCAACACGGAATGGTCGGGGTCACTGGTCTACAACCCAGCAGGAAGCAGAGCTAAAGTGAAGGCGTTCTCAGGCTCTCCTGTCTCCCTCCAGGGAGTGATTAAGCTCCCACGGGTGAGGAACAACCTATCTCGTGACAAGTGGACAGGCACATACCTGTTCTGCTACAGCCATCCTTCCTGCTGCTGGCACAGTGCCAGGCCCACACGCTTTGATCCAATGTGTGGCATTTTAGGGGTGCGGGGGAGGGTCATGCGTACTCTCCTATGCACCAGGCTGGCCTTGCTTCTAACAATGCAAAGACGGCACAGGTCGGTGGTCTGGGATCACTCAGGGAAGAAGCTTGTAAAGGAGGCGGGACAGAAGGACTCCTGGCACAGGGAACTCTAAGACAAGAACTGTCCGGTGGTGTGTGTGTTCATGTGCAAATAAATGGTGTGTTTCTAATGAGCCCGACCTGTCCTGGGGTTACTGAGGAGTTACCTGCCGCCAAAACGTGCCCAAATATGACCTCGGACACCTCTTCTGGAGCCACCTTGGCCCTCTGCAGAACTTCTTTGATGACAGTTGTCCCCAGGTCGTGGACAGGCACAGTAGACAGGGCACCATTGAAAGAGCCTACGGCGGAACCGGGGAGAGAGAAGGCGTGTGAACCGAGGGAACACTGAGGATGGCAGAGGAGGAGGAAGGGGCCACATGCTCTCCGTGCAAAGACGTCTAGCGCCGGGGGGGGGGGGGGGGGGGGGCACAGGCGATGTGGACCTCGGGGACAATGCCAAGGCCTGTCCGGAACCCCTGCTCAGACCCCTGGCTCCCGGCCCCCACCGCCACGGCGTGACCGATGGTGCTTGGCAGAGCGGGCCAATCACGGATCAGGAGATAGAGCGCGTCCCAGAGGCAGCCAATAGGTGATCCCGGCAGAGCGGTGGCTCTACGGCAAGGAGCCAATCGCAGCGCGAGGGGCGGGGCCACGGGCGAGGCGCGAGGCACAGGTCCGCGGAGTCCGCGGCCGGCTGGCCCGCCGCCCCCCTCCCCGTCACGCGAGCCCGGTTCTCGGCGCAGCTGCCCGGGCGAAGGGCCGGGGGCCGATGGGTCGGGACGCTCACCTATGGCGGTCCGCGCCGCAGAGACGATGACCACGGGGTCCGAGCCGGCACTCATCCTGTCGCTCCGCTCCCTGCCAGCTGTCAGCCAGGCGCAGTCTGCGACTGAGGTAAAACTTCCTCCAGTCGCGTAGGCCTGGCTGGGAGGCGGAGCTGGAGCCTCCCCGCCACGCCCCCACGCGCCTGCGCGACACGCTGGGCGGGCCCAAGAGCCGGAGTAGGGTGGGTAGAGGACCGGTTGTCTAGGATGGGGTGGGGTCAAGGCACCCGTGTGTGTCTGGTTAGCGTGGTCGTAGGCGATCCGGGGATGTTGGGTGGATCTGGAGAGTCTGGGGGTGTGGGAGAGCGATGTGCTGAGCCGACGGTCTAGGAGTCTGCGGTGGGGTCGGGGGTAAAGGTTCTAGGGTGTCTTGGGGGTCTTCAGGCGACACACCCCAGGGAGCCGCCTAGCCTCTTCTGGGTAGGCACCTCCCGCCCCTTCTGGGGGTCCTCAGCGCTGACATCTTCTGGGCGCGAGGCCTCTTTACTAAGAGAGATTCTTAGGGCAATGGATCGCTCTGTTTCAAATCATTTTGGACTTGCTACTCTGCCATGGTCATTCTGGGATCTTCTACTTAGCTGTCTTCCTTGTGTCATTCATGCCTTTTGGCGACTCCCTCTGGCCACCCCCACCCCCAACCCCCCGTCCAGCCCCTGGCTCTCACGCTTCATTTTTAATACATTTTTAAAAGATGTATTTATTTTTATTCTGTGCACATTGATGTTTGTCTGCTTTTTGTTTGTCTGTGTACTGCGTGTGCATGCAGTGCCCGAGGGGCCAGAAGTTGTTGGATCTCCTGGGGCTGGAGCTACTGATAGTTGTCAGCTGCCCTACTGTAGGTCCTAGGAACTGAACTCCCGTTCTCTGGAAGAGCAGTAAGTGCTCTTAACCCCTAAGCCATTTCTCCAAACCCCCAAAATAATAAATGATTTCTTCCTGGGAAAAAAAAGAAAAAGAAAAAAAAAACCTGTCCTTCTTTTCTCCATTCATTACTTTTAGCTTGCATCTGGCCTATGTGTAGCTCTCAGTAGACATCTGCAAGGCACTACAAGGGCTTCTCGGTCAGTCAACAGAAGCAGTTAGCTTCTTGAGATTTTCTACTTTGCATATGTGCCTGTGCCTAGTGTCTGCAGAGGGCAGAAGAGGATGCTGGATGCTCTGGAGCTGGAGTTACAGAAAGTTGTGAGCTACCATCTGGGTGCTGGGAAACAAACCCAGTTCTGTGCAGTAGGTGTAAGTACTCTAACCACTGTGCCATCTCTCCAGTCCCCTATTTCCCCACACCTCTGGCCACTCTTTAGTCTGTTTAGTGAACTTACTCTGACTGCTTCTTGACCAATTTTGCAGCAGTTCCCCGGAAGCACTGTGTCCACCCCATCACTTCAGTTACCACCCATTATGTTGACAGCTCTGAAATCTTTTCTCTAACCTTGTTGCCTATGAGCAGACTGGCCCTCTCTATTTAAACTTTCTATAAAAATATCAAATTTATCACACCTAATCCAAAGTCATTATATCTACCTCTTCAGTTTATTTCTTCTATCTGAAGACAGCAAGTGGTGTATCCTTCTTTGGCAATGCTAGAAATTTCTTGAATCAACTTAGATTTTACTTCCTCCAGGAAGCCTTCCTAAATCCTATAAGAGCTGGTGTCCCTTCAGATTTTATACCTAATCTTATCTTTATACTTAAACATATAATCCTTCGTTTCTGGTTTCCTCTATTACGGTTATACAAAATATTCTTGCTCCCTTCTTATACTGTTTTATTCTATATGGCTAGCACATTTTAGGCAGTAAATCAGATGAACACTAGTATATCCCTTATGCTCTGCGCATGAGAATAAATGGATATGAGCTAGGTGGGGTGGCACAGGCCTATAATCTGAGCATTTGGAAACTAACAGAGGAGGGTCAGGAGTTCAAGGGTAGACTGAGCTACATGAACATTTTTTTTTTTTTGCTTTGTTTTGCTTTTCAAGACCGGGTTTCTCTGTGTAGCAGTTCTTGCTGTCCTGGAACTCACTTTGTAGACCAGCCTGGCCTCTAACACAGAGATCCGCCTGCCTCTGCCTCCTGAGTGCTGGGATTAGATGTGTGAACCACCATGCCCGGCCTTGTGGTTTTTTATAAAAACAACAACAACATGGTTCTGTGGAGTTATCTCAGTGATTAAAGCATTTGTGAGAACAAGAGGATCAGGATTTGGCTTCCAGTAACTCACATAAATGTTGAGTGGATATGGAAGTCCACCTATAATTCCAGTTTCCCAAGATCAAGGTGCCTAGTTACATAGGCTGTATTGTTTAGCTGTTGGTTTACTGATTGATCATGTCTCAAAAGTAGATCAATTAAGAAAGATCTCTGACACCAGTCTCAGGCCTCCACACATAAACACATGAAAGTGAGTAGGGTCAGGTGGTGGTGGCACACACCTTTAATCCCAGCACTCAGGAACCAGAGGCAGGCACTTCTCTGTGAGTTCAAGGCCAGCCTAGTCTATAGAGCGAGTTCTAGGACAGGCTCCAAAACTATACAGAGAAACCCTGTCTCAAAAAAACAAACAAAATGGAAGGAAGGAAGGAAGAAAGGAAGGAAAGGAAAGGAAGGGAAGAAAGAAAGAATAAAGGAAAAGTGAGAAGGAACGTATTCTTTTAGGGGCAAGGTTTGTATTTACTTGTCTCCTGCCTGGAGGCTCTACCTGGAACCAGCAAAGGAGAAAATCTCAAGAAGCTAACTGCTTCTGTTGACTGACCAACAGCAACACCGAGAAGCCCTTGTTGTAGCGCCTTGCAGCTGTCTTCTGAGAGCTACACATGGGCCAGATGCAAGGTAAAAGTAATGAATGGAGAAAAGAAGGACAGGTTTTTTATTTTTCTTTTTTTTTCCTAGGAAGACATTATTTATTATTTTGGTTTATAGTTCCAAAGGGATAGAGTCCATCATTGCAAGAAGGCACAGCAACAGGCAAAGGAAACATGACTTTTTTTTTTAATACACTATACATATAATGTTCAGCTGGCATGTACATGCCAGAAGAGGGCACCAGATCTCATTACAGATGGTTTGTGAGCCACCATGTGGTTGCGGGGAATTGAACTCAGAACTTCTGGAAGAGCACTGAACTCACTTTTGTAGACCAGGCTGGCTTCAGACTCAGAGATTTACCTGTCTCTGCCTCCTGCGTGCTGGGATTGATGGCATCCATCGCCCTGCTTTTTTTCCCCTTAAATATTGTATTTCAGTGTATGTCTGTGCATCCCACATGCGTAGCCTGTGAAGGTGAGGGGCTTCAGATCCCCTGGCACTGGAGTTATAGATGGTTGTGAGCCACTTTATGGATGCTAGATACTGAACCTGAGTTCTCTGCAAGAGCAGTAGCTGCTTTTCACTAAACTATCTCCCCAGCCTCTGGAACAGTTTCTTAAATGATACCTAGATTCGTATGGTGCTAGGCTAGCAAAAGAAGGAAGAATTTAACAGTGCCACAGACAGTTTGTCCTCAACAGAGGGGCCTTGCGATCATTCTAGGGTTGTTTTAGGAATAGTTACTGGAGTTCAATTATCAGAACAATGCTGTTTTGTGAATATTGTTTTTACAAAAAGCCGTATTAAATACACTTGAGGACAAGCTTATCTGTGGAAGTCTCTTTAGTAAGCACTTTTACACATGCTCACATTTGTCTTCCCAGTCATAGCATTCATTACAACAGTGGCTTCAGGTTGGCCGGAATTCTCCATCCTGCTTCACCCCACCATGTTGTTGGATTAGATACTAGACAACAACCACAGCCAGCTGTTCATTCACAAACTATCTATCTTCCAATGCTAGGCTTAAAGCTGCTTTTAATTCCTTTTGTCCATAAACGTTTTTTGGCCATGCTAGGGATAACCTGGGCTGTGACCCTGCGAGGCAAGCACTCTATCACGAAGTTACTCCCCTATCCTCAAATGCTTCCAAAGTCCGTATTTAACCAAGCTGGTTATCTTAGCCTGCTACTTTTAACTGTATAGTTAAAGCTTTTAAATTTGCATTCTCTCAGTTACTGCATAGCCATCACGTTGATCATCTCTAGTTCCAATCTCCAAATATTTGGCACAATAACCTCAAAGACTATCCTCCCAAACTCAGTTTTTTGTTTCTTCTTTTCTTCCTTTTGTTCAAAAGGGTGAAAGCACGCAGAAAAACATTAAAGGCTGCGCTCAGCTGGCTGGCCTGCCATCTTTAGATATTATCAAGGGACAGTAAATGATATTCTCTAAAGGGCACCCTCAGTGTTAAGTATTGAAGGTGTCATTACCACATTTTATGGAGAGGATGATGACAAAGTCCTGGCAGTTGCACGGGTGCGGAGAAGAGGAAGGGAGGAAGTATCATTTGAGTTAGGCATGGTGGTCAGCCATGTGGTGGACAAGCTGCTAGGTGGCAAAAAGGGAGTATGGGGGCACATCTGTTAAGAGAACTTGCTCTTGCAGAGGACCCAGGTTCCCAGCTCCCAGATGGCATGAGGCTCACAAATTGCCTATAAACTCCAATTACAGGGGATCTGATGACGGCTTGACCTTAGCATTTATTAGGCACATCCGTGATACAAATACCTACATACAAACACTATTAACATAAACTTTTTTTTTTTTTTTAGTTCTTTGTTGTTATTTTTAGAGACAGAGTTTCTCTGTTTAATAGCTATGGGTGTGCTGGAACTAGCTCTTGTAAACCAGGCTGGCCTTGAACTCAGAGAGATCTGCCTGCCTCTGCTCCTGAGTACTTGGAATTAAGGCCACCATAGTTTGAGTCAGGGTTTCCCTGTGTTAACAACTCTGGCTATATTGGAACTTGCTTTGTAGACCAAGTTAGCTTTGAACTCACAAACTTTTTTTTTGGAGATGGTTTCTCTGTAGACCAGGCTGGCCTCAAACTCACAGAGATCTGCCTGCTTCTGCCTCCCAAGTGCTGGGGCTAAAAGGACTACTAGGCTCACAAATCTTTTTCTTAAAGGGAGATAGGGTATGCCAGAGAGAGCAAGGAAATGCAGTATTGGGAAATCACTTAGACCAGGGAAAGAAGGAAACCTTACTGTAATTCAGACAGTAGGCCAATTGAGG